TCATCTCATGAGAACCTTGAGAACAGCTAGAAATGAATGCTCTTGTGAGTCTCTCTGAAAGCAAGGATATATATAATGTCTGCTTTGACAGTGTGCTGATGATAGTGAATTACTTTATCAAGATAACACACTTTATACTCATCTGCAAGGACTTGAAGTTAAAGAATTTAACTTATATCTTCATTCACAATGTAATTCAGTTACATGAGTTGTCTGTGAACATTGTCTCAGACAGAGAATTAATCTTTGCAGAAGAGTTCTGATCTGATCTGATGACTATACTGAAGATCTCACAAGATTTAAGCATGACTTTTCATCAACAGACAGATGATCAGATAGAACATCTGATGAGTATATTGAAACAGTATCTATGATACTTTGTTAATTACAATTAGAATGACTGAGTGCATTGATTATCACTTATAGAGTTTATATATAACAACTCAAAGCATGTCAGCACAGATAAAACCCTCTTTAAGATGCTCACTGAGACTTATCTGTGAATGATCTTGATGAACTCATGAGAGTACACTATAGAGTGTGGTAATGCCTGTGAACAGGCTGAGAGAATTCAGAAGATCTGGGAGAAAGTCTGCAAATTCTTGAGAAAGACTCAAGAGTATTAGAAGAGATACTATGACTTTAAGTATATTATAAAGAGTTTCAAGAAAGATGATAGAGTCTGACTGAGTCTAGAAAATATTATTATATAAAGATCTAGTAAGAAGCTGAATCTCTTACAGACAGAGTCTTGTAAGATTATGAAGAAAGTTAGCTCACAGTTCTACAGATTGAAACTGTCATCTGAGTTGTAAATATACAATATTTTTTATATCTCTTTGCTTTATAAATATAAGGAATTCTCAGAAGAGAATTCTGTGACTCATCACTCTATTCACAAAGTACTAGAGAGTGAAAGAGAATATCAGATTAAAGAAATTATTGACTCAGAGAAGTGAGGTTATAAGCTCTGATTCAAGATTCAGTGATAAGAGTATTCTGACAAGATGAATGAGTTCACTTGAGAATTATTCAGATAGATAAGACATCTGCAGAAGCTGAGACATGACTTTCATACTGTGAATTCTGATAAGTCAGAATAATATGATCTTTGCTAAGAACCTGATTGTGATAAAGATATTAACACTGTCATTTACAAATCCTAGTCTATAAGATAATGAGTTTCTACTGGGATGAACAGTCTGCAGTGTACATAAGAAAAGAAGAAAAACATGTTCTCATTAAAGCTAAAAAACAAGAAAATAAACAGAGCTATGAATGCAATTTAGAGATTAATAAAGAAAAAATAAAGAAAACTCACACTCACATTATCAACACTCATGATACTCAATCTTCTCACAACTACTAATTTTTCTCTTCAAAGAAGCAGAGAGTATTATATCTATAATATAAACAATTATTACATTTGATATGAAGACTGTCAGAAATGCACAGACTTCAGAGAAGTCAGATATCAGAGTACACACAGTTGCAGCAGAGTCTTGAAGACTGATTATCTGCATGTGTGACTAGATATCTCTCACAAAGCTGTGTCTGCTCTCTCAGTTGTACTGAAGTATTCAGTCTGAAAATAATAAAGATATGAAGAGAGAGCTCATCTGCTCAGATCAACTTCTGTCATGAATTCATGATATTCACATTGCCTTGACTATCTGAATTTTGTGAGTACTCAGAGACTCATCTCTCATTGACAATGAAATTGTGAAAATGTGCTGCAGTGTGAGAATCATTGATAGAGAATCTAGGCATATTCACATATATCTAGTCAGAGATTGTGTGAGTAGAGAGGAGATGATTGTAGGTCTGCAGAACTGTAGAAGACACTGACAACACTGAAAGCTTTGCAAGAACTATTAGCTAGAGTCTGTAAGGAATTACTTATGAGAAGACTTACAGTAAAGAGAGAGACTGCACTGCTTGAAGTCAGGAGCTGGTCTGAGAGAGAAATGAGGTGAGCTGCTGGCCTGAAGATCAGGTGCAGTGGCAGGGCTGAGAGAGATGAAGGCACAGTTGTGAGCAGCAGTGCCCCTGCTTCATCAGCTGATAAAAAGTGACTGAAGAAGTTGCAGAGATGTTCATGAGAAGCTCAGCAGCAGTCAGACATTGTTTTCAAAGATGTTAAAATTGAAAAAATTTTTATTCTTGAGAAGTTCTTGAATCAATATATAAACATTGTCAGAAATACTCTCTCTCTATTATCTGAGTGAAAACACTTCACAGATGAATAAGAATACTCACAGTTTGTAAGAATGAAAGCTGTTATAGAAAAAGAGAAAAGAAGATGAGATTCTGTGAATAGATCTGAAATATTTATACTACTCTAGAGAGATTTACTTGCACTGTGAATGATTTCACAGAACAGTTAGATTACTCTAGTAAATAAGAGTAATTATGAATTACAGATCTGAATCTTTCTATGTAACTATAAAGAGTGATTGCAGACTGTGAATATCTTGATTCTATAATTCTACAGAGTTGATGAAAGAATGAAAAATTCCTCACAATTCTACAGTGTCAAAGAGCAATGATTTGTAAGAATGAATGAAAGATTAACTTACAAATATTTCTCTTTAATAGAGATGATCTCACAGAGAGTGATTCATCTGCAAGATGAATCTGTGTAATGATCACATAAGAATCTCATAGAAATGATTGAGAGTCAATCAGAACTCTTCTGTATGAAAGATGCAAGATGAATCTGTGTGATAGTCAGAGAAGAATCTGTAGATCATAAAGAATCTCATGAAACAAGGAACTGAGTGACAGACTCTTTTCTCTTTGTAATAATAAGGGATTTTTCCTCACTGAGGTTTTTTACAGATATGAAGGATTTTTAGTGAGTATCACTACAGTGCTGAGCTGACTATGAAGTCACTCAGTGAAAGACTTCACAGATGAAGCCTTAGAGAGGAGAGAGTATATAAGAAATCCTGCTTCTCACAGATTCTTTATCTCTATTTCTATCTCTCACATAATTAATAGAGCTAGCAGCCCTTGGCTACACACAACTATATAGACTGAAGTTCATGAATACTATTTATAACTCAGCTTGAATGCTATTATACACTTAATTTCTACATTTATCTTTCTACTGTAAACACTTCTAGTAGTTAACAGTACATATCATGTCAAGCTGCAAACACCTGAATAATCGCCTGCGAGCACTTATTCTTACAAAAGTTTATACTATAATTTTATACTTTTTAAAATATATAATATTAATTAAAAATCTTTATTTTTATTATTAATATATAAAAATTAATAAAATAAATTAAGTAATAATAATATTATTATATTTAATATAAAATATTATATAATATTATAAAAAAATCTTTAAAATTTTTTTTAATAATTAATTTTTTTAAATATTATATATTATTATTTTTTTTATATTATTTAACTTAATTTTATATAAATATTTTTTCTTTTTATATATTAAAAATATTTTTAAAATAAAATAAAATTTTATTTAATTATATATTTTAATTTAATATATAAAATTTTATTAATATATATTTTTTATATATATATTTAATTATTAATTATTAATTACTTTTAATTTTAATTTTATATTTTATATATTTTTAAATAAATAATATTATATTTAAATTTAAAATATTATATATTAATAATTTATTTTATATAAAATTTTTTTATAATAAAAAAATAAATTAAACTTAAAATTTTTATTATAATATTAAAATACTTTTTAAATAATATTTTTTAATATTAATTTTAAAATTAGAAATTAAAAAAATAAAATAAATTATTTTTTACACTATAAAATTTAATAAAAAACAGAAAAAAACTAAAAAAAAGAAATAAAGAAAAAATAGAAAAATTATTTAAGAACTGATTAAGAATTAATTTTCAAATACTTAAGCTTCATAAGTTATAAAATAATTGTAATTAAAAAAACTAAAAATATTATAAATCTCTGTATTATAATAGTAATCTACTTAATCAATTAGTAATTAATTAATAATTAATTAAGAATTAATTGAAAATTAATCTATTAATTTCTGTCTTTACACAGTCTTTACAGAGAACTGCTACTCTCATATCTCTGATTATTTTTTTCATTTCTTTTAAAAGTAACTGATAATCAGTTAGTAATCAATTCATAATTAATTAATTAACTTTCAAAGTATGATTTTCTATCTTACTATTATCTTTGTACTAAGATAACTTTAATAATATTATCTTATTCTTTTCTCTCAGAGTGAATAGATTCACTGTAATATTATTATAAAACTTTAAAGTATTTATTAATTAGTTAAGAATAATTATATAAAAATCAGTTAACAATTAATTTATAAATACTTATTAATAGTCTTATTAATTACTTTTTATTTAACACAGCTTTTCTGCTGCTCTGATACTCAGATTTTCTTATACATATTAATATAATAGCAGAGATTATTTATTAATAAGAATTAATCTGAAATTAATTTAAAATTAATTGTTAAATATCTTTATCTTAATATATTCTGAAATTCTGTAAAATATCTCTTTATATTTTATATGAATTTATCTGTTCATCTAATTGATTATGAATTAGCTATACATGCTTTGAAAATCAATTTCTAAGCAATATTTAATCAATTACTGTTTCATATTCTGAGAGAGTAAGATCTTCTGCTGTCACTGCTTGAAGATATAGCTGATAACTTGGCTATAAAATAACATAAATCAGCTTCTTCATTTTTTTTATTAAAAATCATCAGATTTTCTGTCTTTTTTATCAATATTTCACTTACTGTCTGAGCTAGAGCTGTCATATCTGCTATTTCACTGCTTTTTTAGTTGAAGAATGAAAAATTTGATTGATTAATAGATTGAGTGGATGAATGAGTGAGTGATTGAAAGATTGAAAGTCAATTATCAACTGATTATTACTGTATTGTGCGAGGTCAGGGTCATAATTACATAATGAGGTCAAGTGGCGCACTTAGCGAGGTCAAGTTTTCTGTATACACTCGCAAGCCGACAAGCAAAAGCGGAAGTATTCATTCTATTAGAAGCCCGCAGCTCGCCATGCACTGGTTATATATCTGAAAGGAGGGTATTCTATTCCTAGACCCTTCTCGATGCCTCGTTTCCTACTACTCAGGATCTTTTGATCTATCTCGAGTCGGGCAACACGCGCGAAACTGTTACGCCGCAGCCCTTCCTTCCCAAGCCGACGCTGACTTCTGGATAAAATACAATAATTCAATGGATACGCACGCATATCTCCTTGGCCAGGGTTGGTCTGGCCCGGGCAACCCTCTAAACCCCAACCGACGTCCGGGTCCACACGGCGGCCTCGGCCTAACCAAACCCATCCTGGTCGCGCGGAAAAAGAACACCCATGGGCTAGGGAAGCAGACGACACACGACCATACGAACCAGTGGTGGCTTCGTGGATTCGAGGCGGCATTGAAGGGGGTTGGTGATGATGGGAGTGCGACGCCCCAGTCCGATGGATCTGGCTCAGCCGCTAGTGGGTCGAGCGAGTTATATCGCTTTTTTGTGAAAGGGGAGCCGCTGGAAGGGACGATTGATAGGGTTATGATTAATGAAGGCAAGGAGGTGAAGGGGGGTTGCGAGATTTCTACTGCTCCTGGGAGAGGAGAGAAAAATGGGAAAAGGAAGCGAAGCGATGAGAATGACGCCGATATGGAGGAAAGGGAGGAGAGGGCTTTGAAGAGGGAGAAGAGACGGAAGAAGTGCAAGCCAGATGAGCGAGATTCTAGTGAGGGAGGGGTCGCTGAGGATGCAGGGCTGGCGGTGGAATCGAAAGAGGAAAGGAGGCGGAGGAGAAAGGAGAGGAAGGAGAGGAAGAAAGAGAAAGGAACCGCTAAGCTAGAAGAAGATTCTTCGGATGCTCGTGCAGATAAGAAGAGACGGAAGAAGCGGCAAAAGTTAGAAGATGCTGATCCCGATTCGCTATCGCAAGGCGAAAGAGAAGGAGACAATAAACCGGCTGATGAAGATGGGATATCGGAGAAAAAAGTACGAAAGAAACAGAAAAAGCTGAAGAAAGAGGAGAAGCGAGCGCGTCGAGAGTTGAAGCGCAAGGAGAAGAAATCCAAGCGGAGAGAATGATGCTAATAAGGAGTGGAACCTGCCCTTCTTGCGCTCATGTTTATACCCTCAGCCTAACCCACTCAAACGAGAGCTCGGGAACTATGTTTGAACATACGGGATGCCTACTCCTTGCCAGTACGAATAAGGCATACCTTAAAAAAGAGTATGACCCCGAAACCAATACAGCGATTTGAAATGGACGTGGACGGATATGATTTTGGCCTGGTTTTCTTTTTGGCGTGCTCCAATCATTATTTTCTGCGCGAGCAATAGATCTCATGATACCCCCCTATTTGTTTAGGTATTTATTTTGTCAATTATATTCGTAATTGCATCCGCCTACTCTACACGAATGGAGAAATCAAAAATTTTCACCCTTTCCCAGAGAGCCTACCAGGCGTATTCGATAAAATCCACGGCCGCTGATCCCAAAAGTCATCTTTGATAATATCCAGATGCGTCACCACGATCGTGGCCTTTTTCTGTATTTTTCGTACCCTCGCCATTTGGGATTTCGTCATTTCTGCCGGTGGGCCCTCTTCTTCTCCGACTTGATATTCTATGTCTTTGGACTCACCACCGGCCTTCTTTTCTGTTTGAGGTTGGATTTCGTACTGTTTTCCAAACGTTGTGAGACATGCTTGACCTGACGGGAAATATGGTGGTACGTAAAAAACGGGCAACACTTACATCTCTGAATATCACACTACCTTTCTTATACATTTCTGGTTCTTTATTATAGTTTATGCCAAACCTCGAGAATAGAATTTCATTTTTATCACCGGATACCGTGCCCTGATTTTGTTTCTATCAGCAAATCCTCTCGTGCATCGGTAGTACACTACAAATGGGGGACTGGAGACATCTGATATACAAACCTGCAACGCCTTTTCTGCTTCTGTATTACTCATTCCACCACGCAGAATCATATTCCAGAACGTAGTATTGTAGAGGTTGTTTATATGACCTTCAAAATTCATAAATTTGTCAGCCAAGGGTGCCCATCTGAACCAGACATCCAACCAGTCGTGATCAATGACCGTGAACACACGAAGTATACCGGAGATCAACAGGGAAAATGCAGAAATTCTGAACAGCCACCGACTTAGAAACATACAATCAGCCTGCCTCCAACTCATATAATCCCTCAAATTCTGTACACTCGGATATTGAACGGCCCTTCCATCAAATGAAGGTAGAAATCCGGGTTCTAGCGGCGTAGTCGGGAAAAAAGATGGCCAGTTGAATATGTAATGAGCAGTAAATGTCGATACAATTGTAGTCACGAGTTTGCTGTCAAATAAGAAAGAAATAGCATGTCAAAAACTGTTCCTTTTTCTTTCTTTCTTTTTCTGGCTCTGGCAAAATACATTTCATCTAGAGGGCGCACAGAGGGAAGTCCAGCTCCAAAAGATTAACCTTACCTACTTCTCCGCTCAAATAGCTGACAACTCCGGTGGAAAACAAAGCTTTATTGAAAATAATTCATCAGTATCAGGCACGTACATACATATATGTGCTGTCAGTCGCCTGCGTTCGGCAGCAGGAGGTTCACACCTGTATTCATCACTGACGCCATATGCGATGATTAAGCCAGGGAGGTCTTTCATAACGGCGCATGCAGCGGTGTTCATGAGATTGAGCGCACGCTCGTCATTTGGTTTTTGAAACTGATATCGGTCGGAAAACCTGGGGGGGAAAGAGCTTAGTGGGGGCAATCGAAGATATTGGAATAGCGAAGTAGAAGCGAAAGAAAGGATGGGGAAAAAGGGATATATGAATATATATATTCTTTTCTTCCATATTAAGATGGGAAAAGTATCGATCTTCAAGCTTGTTTATCCCATATAAATACCAAAAAAAGAGCAGGGGATAGTTTATCTTGTATCTATCCAATCTTTCATAAAACTTTTTTTATAGCGTATGTATACCCCGCGCAAACAACAGACGTAGCGAAAAGAGAGAAAAGAGATGAAGAAATAACGCCAGAATAGCGATAACAAGAAAAGGGCATTAACTTACCTATGAAAACCTCGTCCATCTATGCGGACAACAATCCAGGTATTTGGAAGCAGGCTGTCATCCTGCTCAAATGCCTTGACGTATTCGTATCTATTCGGGAGGGGGGCGAAAAGAACAGACAATGGTTAATACAGTGAATTTTGAAAAGGAGCCGCAGATAACGGGGACTATGACTTACTTTGAATTCGCCATGAGATTATACACGGGTATCCGTGCTTGGGCGGGACGTGTATGGAAGACGAGTGTGTTTGTGAGACTTGATGTGGGTTGGGTTATTTAAATTGGAGGTGGATGCCATCAATAGAGTTTGGTGGATCAGGAACGTTGAAACAAACCAGATCACCAAATGGAATAATAGATATACATGGATATGTGATTCTTAAAGTACAAGTTTCATCTACTCCTATTGAATAACTTTATTGTATCAGATTTCTAATAATAATAGTTTTTAAAGCTACCATGCCTACTAGTTTAACACCATCCAAGATATTGGAATCCCCAAGTAAAGTATGTATATACCAACTCCTCCAAAGGCCCAACATAAATATATCACAACGCGATACCCAGAATCCGATCAGACATCTTCAGAAACATCCTCATCGCCAGTCTCACTGGCCTTCTCACTAAAGTCACCAGTGATCTTTTCTTTCTTAGATTTCCGCATGAAACCGAATCCTAGACTGCTGCTCTTAATCGACTTGTCCGCCGACGGCACGCTGGATGCTAAGCTATCAATACTTTTACCGAGCAGGGATTCCGCCGCCACGGCATCGTCGTCGATATTGTCGCCTTGGGCGGCCGGAAGGGAAGAAGACAGGTCGCCACCGCCTTTCTTCGAGAACAGCCCAGCTCGATCTTTCCAGGAGATGTTGAACTTGCTGGAGCTGCTCTTGCGTGTGATTTTTTGGATAAATGATTCTTTTAGGTTTACTATTTCTGAAGGTGTGCCTGATGAGGTTCGTTCCAGGGACTCATAGGACTCTGCGGTGGAGGTGCGGATGGAGCGGGAATCTTTTGACCGGCGTGATTCAGGCGGTGAGCCGTCTTCAAGATTGGGCTCCTGGTCTCGTGGCTTTGAGGATTCCGCTTCTTTATTCTTACCTTTCTCAGATTTTTTGCCAAAAAGGGTCTTGAACGAAGGTGCTGTCGGGTTGAGTTTCGGCGTTATTGGTCGATGAGAGGACGGTGGCCGGGTCCCAATGGGAGCTTGCACTGGGCGTTGCTGCTCGTACGGGGTTTCAAGAAAATCTACATCACCAGACGCCAAGCCTAGTTGCAGATTGCTTGATGACCCAAACTGGACTGACGGGCGCCGTGACTGGCTGCGGGACCAGGCTACAGGAGACACCCAGTCGAGTCCAAGTGGGCTATTTCTATGTCCCGCTTTGTCGGTGGCTGGCCATCCGAATGGTTGGTTATCCGCAGCAGGACGTGGGAGTTGATGATTTTCAAACGAGTATGTGGACGCTGGTCTCGGAGACAGGGATCCCCGACGAACGGTTCCGAGGATGGACGGATCTATAGGGTCATGCCGGGGACTGAATTGGTTGTACCCAGTACCTGCATCGCCACGATCTATCGCTGATTTCTCCAAGGCGCTGGACATCGCAGAAGTCAACCTCCCAGAACTGAAGATGTTAGGGAACATAACTCTACGACTGGCAGGTAGCCTGTCTGAGGAACTGTCACTGGTGACATTGGTGGTCGCACTGCGGGGAAATAAATTTGTGACGGGATTGGCCCAGTTTCCCGTATAGCTAAGACGGCGTCGTCTTGTACCTATCGGATCAAGGCCATCATCGAAGTTTCGTGGGAAAGATTGGCTCTGGCCAGGTTTGAGAGTCCCAAGCAAAGGCGGTCTATCCACCATGGTCTTGCCCCGTTGGCGATGGAAATTAAAGAGCCCCGATAGCCGACGAGAAGCGCTTTGAACACTATCTGGAGGCTCTTGTGGGGTTGGCAAGGTTGGCATGGCCATTGAATTGTGCCCACTCTCATGTAGGTTGTTTAAGCTTTCACGTGGGCTTGTAAATAGGCTCGCAGGGCGGCTCCCAGAAGATATAGGTGAGGGAGAGTTGGGAAGAAGATTGTCGAAGGCACCCGATTTAGGAAATTGAGTGGTAATGCCGGAAGGGTGAGATGCTGATGCATGCTCCTCGTCACCAAGAAGGTTTGAGGGTAAGAGAGAATCTGCCCGCGGACTCATAGGAAGATTGCCTGCTAATACATCCGTATCCGCGCGGTTGACAACGGTCTGGTCGGAGGGGTCCGGGATAGTCATCCCATTATTAATGTTGAAAAATGCAGGACCGGGAGGAAAAGTTGGCGAGCCACTCCCAGCGGCGTTGTAATTTGGTGCAGCATTAGTGAACGAGGTGTCCATGACAGGATAGCTCACGGGAGACGAAACGTTGCTCACGAGGGAGCCGCGATGACGAGTGCGACGATTGAAGCTAGCTCTGTGGGCCAGTTCTAGATCTAGTGAAGGAACAGCCACGAACGGAGGCGTGGCATTGGATCGCTGGGAGGTAATCCATCTAAGACGTTCTTGAGCGTCCTGATATTGTTGCTGGGCCTGCATAAATACAGTTAGTTAAACTATTTACTAAATGAAGGGTGCACGGCAACGAACCTGCGAGTGGGTGTTGATGAGGGAGGCATATTGCGCCCGTAGATTTCCCAATTTGACCTCCCAGGCGTGGTCTCTCTCCTTCTCCAAGCGATCAAGCTCTTTCCCATCATCAGTGTCGTCGCCCTCTAACCGACGTCTTTCCTCTTCCATCTCCTTGATACGGCTCCCTTTCACTTTGATATCTTCATCCAAAGACTTCATTTCAGCCTGTTCACTCGTGATCTTGTTGCGATACTCGTTGACCTGGTTCGCAGCCTCCGACTCAATTTGCGCCTTTTCTTCCTTGGCACGAGATATTTTCCCGTGCATCGCCACCAGTAGTTCATTCCATCGGACGATATCTTCCTTGCGTTTTTGGCGCTCCGCTTCCTTTTGCTGCAGCAGTCTTTCCTTTTTGCTTTTCTCGCTTTGTACTGTGCGATTGATACTTTCCAGCCTGCTAACGTGTTTTCTAAGGTCTCCACTGGCTTCATCCTTCTCCTTCACACGCTGTCTTAGTTCATTCCGCTGTTCCTCTAACTCCCGTAGCAAGAGCTCATGTTCTTTCTCCTCCATGCAAAGCTGCTTTTCCAAAGTTTCATTCTCCTGCTGCAAGTCCTTGAGCCTTTCTGCTAAACGCGCAAGATTTTCGTCGGATTCATCAACACTGCCGGTCCTTTGGCTGCCCTCGGCGCCTGCGTGGGTGGTAGTGTCTGGTGCTGCAATTGAAGAAGGGAGTGATTTTCTATTTCCCGAGAAGCGTTTCCCCTGAAGTGGCCCACCACTCTGCTCTCGACACATTAGCGGTGCAGATGGCGAAGGTGAAGGGGCAGGAGGTCTGGAAATGTAAGCTCGAACAATGGGTGGGCCGCCATCCACATCGTCCTCCCGAGTATCGGAAATTGATAGAGACTTCGTACGGACGTGAAGGAGGGAACTTGATGTGTGGAAATTGGCAGCGCTAACTGCGGAGACGCAGACATGATATATATGGCCCGGGGAGAGATTGGATATGGTTACTGCTGTTTCTGAACGTTTTGTTTCGCCAACTATTATAGAGGCTGGTTAATATACACAATATACCAGTCACCTAGAGAAGCAGAGAGGGACAAACGACAAACCTTTGACGCCATTAACCTGAATGAGGTGCTTGTGAATAGAATGGTGTATATCAGGATGTTTCCAGGCAATGCGAATCATAGTCGAGCTGATCTCTTCCAGAGTGACATCGGGAGCAGGTGGGATATCCAAGCCCAACTTCTCAACCAGAATATCGTTTGGCGTTTGGCAGACCTGATATGCACGATATAGAAGCCTGCAACAAAGCATCAGTATCATTCCGTTGACCTATGTACAATTAAATAATTCGACTTAGGCTCACCATATCAAGGCCCATAGAATCGCGGCTGCGACGAGGAGAGCCATTGTACCGCGAATTCTCAAAATCGGAGCGAAGCCAGGGTAGATATGCATAAGAAGTAGTGGTTTATTATACATTGCCACTACCTATGGCCCGTCCGCAAGACCGCGATATTCGTCTGCGGCTTCAGCTGGCGAATTGACATCGGGCTCAACTGTCTGAGCTTCGTCACCGAGCCTCTTTGCCGCTGGCGAGGTGTCCGGAACAGGATTAACAAAGCTCCGAACTGGCCTCGAGTCCATTAGCTAAGCCTAATTCTCTTCTCAGCCCTACAACCTAACCGACCTTTTGGCTGAGGAATGGTGTTGAGAATCAACATATGATACCAGAATTCATATATGTGGCTGGATATGCTTACTGCTATTGTTCTTGTTCTTGTCTCCAACAGTACTTCCCAGAGGAAGTACACGTGCTGCTTGACTCCGCTGCCACTGCCTTTCTCAACACGGCAGCATAGCTTGGCTAAATTATCTTATTGTAACAATATCCAGAGTAGATGGGCCGTTTCTACCACTAGTATATATCCTGTCCATTCGGGCATAAGCTGTTGAGTTCCTTGTCCGCGAAGGATATGTAAGGATGCCAATTCAACTTAGGAATTGTTGCGGGGTTCCATCCCGATGAAGCCACCAAATATCCCGACTGCATCATTATCCAGCTTTACCCATGTATTGTATGAGCGAACGGGCTAGCTTGCTCTAACCTCGAAGCAGGACCATGTGTACAGGGTAATCTTGAATTCCCCGTAACATTTTCTGGTATTCTGGGACATTAGAAGCTGATAGAGGATAGCATACGGAGTAGTTCTGTGGTACATGAAGAAAAAAACCACCATAATAAACAGTTATTCACTCCCGTATGCTCCAGCAGCTGACTCATAAAATAAGTCTCACCGGCAGGGCCTTGAGCACATTTGAAGGGATGAGCTGCAAGAACATTTTTATATGTCTACTACGGACTACGCTGTATGTATGAACAGAATCACATGCTGCCGGCCAGCGGCTGGCCAATTGCGGGTCGCCGTTGCTTGGCAGCCGGATTGCCGCCGGAGCTAAACCTTGTTGCAGCTTCAACAGCCTCAACGACTTCACCACTTCACCTCTTCCTCTTCTCCTCGCCCCCCCCCCCACATACTCTCTCAAACTCCCTCATCCTCTTCTCGTAAATTTGTATTATATCATATAAACTATTCTTAATACCCCTTTCACTACCATCACCACCACCACAGTCCTCCACTCTTTTTGCGTTGCTTCATCACATGGCCATCCGACAGCGGCTTTGAGGAACAGCATCGACCACGCTCGTTTCATTTTGCTTCAACAACACCTAGTCTTCCAGCCCTTGAAAATTGGCTCTGACTGAATGTGCTTTAGCTGTAATTAAGCTGGAAATTGTAATTTTAGTTTTCCATCTCGCGATCCGGGCATGCAGTACGTGCGCAGTATTAGCGGCTCTGTTTCCAAGACATGGAACTCCATCAATCCAGCTACCCTCAGCGGGGCCATCGATGTGATCGTGATCGAACAGGAGGATGGTGAGCTGATGCTATCCGATATCACCTGAAACCATTTGCTTCTACTAAAATTCTACTCTTCGCATCGTTTCCTAGGCACCCTCGCCTGTTCCCCGTTTCATGTTCGATTCGGTAAATTTTCGCTACTTCGCCCTTACGAGAAAAAAGTAGAATTTCGAGTAAATGGAGTCAAGCAAGATTATGCCATGAAGCTTGGGGAGGGAGGAGAAGCTTTTTTTGTTTTTGAGACTTCGGAAAATGTCCCCGAGTCTTTACAGACCTCGCCTTTAGTTTCCCCAGTCGCAAGCCCCAAGCGTGAACTAAGTGATAATGGCGCCCCTCTCCAAGAACCCGACTATCTGGACCTTGCCTTTGATAAACAAAATAATGCGGAAGCACATGACGGGGATCAGCACCCTCCTCCCTTAAATATCCCCGGGACTGAGAGAGCAAAGAGTGATATGGGTTTGTCTTTACCATTCAACCACCGCGCTTGCCTTCTTATGCTAAACACTTTGCCTTCTAGGGGTCACGACGCCACTTTCGAGGTCTTCAGAGAATGGAACTTCTCGTCCGGAGCGCACTGCACCGTGGCTAGCACCGGCCGCAACCCTAGACCGACCTAGATCCGAGGATTTGTCCACCGAACCGACTTCGAGGAGCCTTGGGTCACCAGTGGAATTTGGCGCCAAGAACGCTCTTGCACCCCCTTCGCCTCCGGATAGTAGGAGTCCTTTGTCAGAACGATCGCGTAGCCCTCCCAACATAAGCCCTGAAGAAGCCCTCTCGCGAGCAATGGCGCTGTCAAGGAAGCTATCTATATCTAACATTCCGTCACATGTAACAGAGACTGGTGATTTAATGTTGGACATGACAGGATATAAGAGCAGTGACGAGGATGCCCTGCGCGCTGAAGTGATCGCCCGAAAAATCCTTGCAGAGGAGCTCGAAGGCAATTATGATATCGGAGCATTGATTGGTGTTGACGAGCGAGGAAACTTATGGATCTATAGCAGCGAGGAGTCTAAGGAGGCAGCAAACCGCAGAGCGTCTATGCACCCTTCTAGGACGATGGACGACGCGGTTTCTGACCCTGGCTACCATAGCGAGAGTGAACAGAGTGGCAATGAAACTCAAGCGACTCAGAGACACCATCGTTCTCAGTCCGTTCTCCAAGGATATCCAACCCGACTCCAAACACTTGTCGATGGGGAGACGGTGGAACCAAGTCGCAATTACGCCAAGACCCTCAGACTAACAAGTGAACAACTGAAGGCGCTGAATCTGAAACCCGGCGCCAATGAAATGACTTTCAGTGTCAACAAGGCTACATGTCCTGCGGCGATGTACTTGTGGAATTATAAAGTCCCCATAGTGATATCTGATATCGATGGGACAATTACAAAGTATGGTGCTCCCGTTATTTTATATGCTTTCTATTTTTGGAGGTTCAGGCGAGGTTCTTACACAGTAATCTAGGTCTGATGCCCTTGGGCATGTGCTTAACATGATCGGCCGCGATTGGACTCATCTTGGGGTCGCCAAGCTGTACACTGATATAGTTAGCAATGGATACAACTTGATGTACCTGACTAGCAGATCTACTGGCCAAGCGGATACGACCCGAACATATCTCAGCGGCATTGTCCAGGAAGGCTATAAACTCCCCAAAGGCCCCGTTATAATGAGTCCCGATAGAACAATAGCCGCTCTACGGCGTGAGATATACCTACGAAAGCCGGAAGTGTTTAAAATGGCTTGCCTACGCGATATCCTGAATTTGTTCCAGGGACGGAAAAACCCCTTCTACGCCGGTTTCGGAAATCGACTCACTGACGCTCTCAGTTATCGATCAGTGAATATCCCTTCGTCGAGGATATTTACAATCAACTCCAACGCGGAAGTTTCACTGGACCTGCTGAGCTTGAATAAGTATAAGAGCAGCTACGTGACCATGCGTGAACTTGTGGACCATTTCTTCCCACCTGTCAGTATGCTTGTGCAAGAAGGCGGGGAAGATTTCACTGATTTCACCTACTGGCGGGAAGTGCCTAGGGACCTGGAGAATTTCTCTGCCACGGATACCAGTGTCAGTGGTGGTGAAGACGAGGAAGTGGATGAGGGTAGTGAAGAGGGGGACGGTGAAAGTGAAGTGTACGACATTGAATATATGGGCGTTAGCTACATCTCGATGGATCACCAACATCCTGGAGATGGCGGGGAAGATTTGGCAGATTCGATGTTGGAGGGATTTGCGTCTGAAGATCAGGCTGAGGCGTCAGATTTGGAGAATGAAGATGGCGGCTCCGACGTTGAAAACAAGGATCACTTCGAACTGAATTCGGACGAGGACGAGGACGCTGACGAGGATGGGGATCCGGACACGGGAGGGGGAGTTAGGCTTGCTAATTTATCAATTAGTGGTGGGAGACGGCACGCGGAGGTGTTACATGCATGATGGGGTATGGGTATCGTCTATGAAAACAAGGCGGAAAAAGTACTACCAGATGCACATTTCCTGATTTGTTCAGCTAGGAGTTTATCATCATCGTGGAGAAATTTTTTTTTTTTCTAACTGATGCACCGTGCGCATTTTGAATTAGCTGAATTAGCGGGAGTTTTTTCTTCGATTTGATTTTGCTTGTTCGCATTGCTTTTTTGCCATGTATTTCCGCAGTCTTGAGCTTTTTATACCAGCATGTACACAGTACCAACCTTCTAGATACAGGCCCAAATTTGGCGCTCCGAAAAGACCAGAGCATTCTCTGCTAAAGCAAGCTGCTGCTGACTGACTCTTCTTGTCCAGTGTTTGGTATCTCTTTTGGCGATTTAAATAGTTTGTTAAGGCAGCTCCTGATGACACTAGCCTAATGTAGTTAGGCTAGTTATAATTCGTGCTTACTTAATCCATTCTCAAGCTCACCAACTTCCGCTGCCAGAGAGCTTCTCTTCTGTATATCAATGGAATTTCCTGTATCTGGCGCCCCAGCTCCTGCGCAATTGCTTGAATTGAAGGACTACATTACTCTACGGGCGCCATACAACCAAAAGCATATGTACCACGATCACCCTCCAATCTCCACCTCCTAACCATCCGCGCGGGGGCCTACCTCCCCCCGAAACAGCGGCCAACACTCACGACATCAAACGAGCTGCGCAATTGCGCCTGAGCCCAATAATTATATCATATCATGACCTCGCCACGGCCAAACCCAGGCGCATCTGCCTCATCTACACAGCCCCTCACTCCGCCCGCCGATGCGCCCTCTGCCGCGAACAATCCCTCCCAAGCAAACAACCTACCGCCGACCGCCGCCGCCGCCAACACCTCCACCTCTACCCCAACGAACCCAGCCAACCCAACCCTCCTCCCAGCAACCTCGCTACAAGACACAGGCAAATCCCGCCGCCCGCGCGATGCCCGCCTCATTCACATGCTCCTCGCCTCCCTCGGCGTAACCGCCTACCAAGAACGCGTCCCTCTCCAACTTCTCGACTTCGCTTACCGATACACATCCAGCACGCTGCAGGATGCTGTCTACCTCGCTACGGAGGGATATCCGGGGGAGTCTGGCGGCGGCGGTGGTACGTCTAAAGGGGGCGGGGATGGAAAGGTGCCTGGCGGAGGAGGAGGAGCAGGGTCCCAGCAGCCTGGAAATTTAGATCTGAGCTCCGTCAGCCTGGGAGCACTACGGATGAGCATTGCGTCGCGTCTGCATTATCAGTTTCAGCGCGGTTTGCCGAAGGAGTTTCTCATGGATGTTGCGGCGGAGAGGAATCGGATGATGCTGCCTGGTGTTATGCGCGGGGTTGACGGTGGGGCGGCGGCTAGTGCGGCGGCAGCGTCGGCTGGCGGTGTTATGATGGGTGGGATGAGGTTGCCGCCTGAGCGGTTTTGTTTGACGGGGGTTGGGTGGGGGTTGAAGGAGGAGTGGGAGAGCGAAGGGGATGATGAGGACGGGGAGAAGGGGATGGAGATGGATGTTGATGGCAATGATAATAATGGGCAGCAGGTTGCTGGGTCGGGCCAGGGGTCGTTTGCGAAGGAGGGAGGAGGAGATGGGGAGGATGATGATGATGGGGATGGGGATGGGACGATGGAGGACATATTTGGTGATGACAGGTTAGATGGGGAGGGGCGAGATGAAGATAAGACCATGACGGATGTTTGATACCCCCAGCTTTACTGAAACATCAGTGGCTGATGGGTTTGGGGTTTGATATATTTTACCAGGTTTTGCTCGCTTGCCTCATCTCCGTCTCTGCTTGCTATGGTTTTGCGCGTTGCTCTGTTTTCATCTTTTTCTTTCCATGATCATGCGCGTATTTGTTTGTCACTGTTTGGGATGGGCGTTTGATTTTCAGTTGCTCCACACGCAAGCTGTCATCCGGATGGGCGTCTCGGTACGGGCGAGAAACAAAATGAGCTGGAGAATATATTATTTAGGGCCGGAACGTCCTGTTCTGTTTAGCGGAGATCTAAACGCCATTTATACCAAGCTGTATTTATACAAAGAGGTTTTCAAAGCAGAGATGGGGAGAAAATGGAGAAAAAGAAGCTACTCTCCCACTTATCCCAACATTCCTCAAAGAAAAGAAAAGCCAAAAAGAAAGGAAAGAGGAATCGAATCAAAACAAAGCTCTCCCACCAACGCCAAATAATGCACCCATAAAGATAAGCGGCGTGGCCCCGAAAAGCGAAGAAGAAAAAAAAATCCGAAAATATTTATACGTACACACAGGCATAAATATGAATATAACCCCCACCCTAACCTAGCCACCCTTTCTTCACCCTCTCTGCCTCCGCTTTTCTCCGTCTCTCCTCATCCTCCCTCATCATCTGTATGACCTCTCGCCGCCTCTCTGCCGTCTTCTGTTCTTCCAGCTCCCGAGCCCGCCTCCGCTCCTCGCGGCCGGCAAACCACTCTTCGCGTGCGCGGTCCTCTTCTTCGGGTTTCGCGTGCTTGACCATGCACGCGTTCATGGCCAGGCGTTCCTTGCGACATACCCATGTTGCGGTTATGGTGCGGTTTATGGCGCAGGCCGCGAATTCTGGTGGGTAGGGGTTTGGTTAGAACCGATTGTTTGAGTGTATGTGGCCGGGGGGGGAGGGGGGGGGAGTAAAGTGTGGTGGCTGAAGCAAGGGTGAAGTAGTGGGGTGTGGTGGAATACGCATGCCATTGATGAGGTTAAGGGCGCAAGAAAGAGAATTGTGCATGCAAAAAGACGTAGTGAGAATGTAGAAATAAACATATCCGATAGTCTGCGAATGTGCAATTGAAATGTAGGAGCAATTTTGAGATATGAAATATCTGGTTCTCTTTTTTTCGTTCGCAGAAATTACGACCTCACCTTTTATTTCCGGCGCGCAATACCCTCTCACCCGTTTGTAATATATATCTCTCACTTGAGCTTCCTGTGTAGCAGATAATGGCAACGGATTCCGCAGGTTTAGGTCTGGAGGTGGTGCTGTGGAGGCGGGGGACGGCGGAGTTGCGGATGTGGCTGCGGAGGTCGTCTGGCTTGCGGCCATTGTAGGACAGGGGGTCCGGGTCAGGGCGGACAAATGAGCAGTAATTTGAGTTTCCAGATGTTCTCAATGCATCTAGGGTAGCTTTCATTCAGAAACACAGTGTAATTGGGTGTTGGGCGGCGCTGTTATGGGGTTCTTCTGTGGGTGAGTATTGCGCCTGGTTGCTACGTGGAGGTTGCGTTGGTTGAGTTTGGGATTTGCGGGCGGCGGGAAACTTCGAACCTTTTTTCTGCTCCGAGACTAAAACTGGCAAAAGCTCACCAACACGCAAAGAAACCGACCATCCTCAACCCAGCATACTGACACGACAGCCTCCAATAATACTGCAGGGAGCATATTTGCACAGCATCTCTTGTTCTTTCAGCCTCTCCCTCTCCATAGCTTTTAAACGTATTTTATTGTTTGCTAGGGCTACAGCAGTAGCATCGCCGTCGCCGTTTGTCTAATCGCTCCTGGGAGCGCAACACCCTCCTCCCAGCTCTGACCAAGAAAAATATACCACCGCCGCAAGCATGTCTTCCATGCGAAATGCCGTTCAACGGCGGCCGCATCGTGAGCGGGCTCAGATCAGCAGCCGCGAGAAATGGGGTATCCTCGAGAAACACAAGGTGAGAATTTCATCCTTGTCAAAGCATCGTCCTAGGAAACAAATACGACGTGAACACAGCCTTCTATATATGCCTGTCATGCCTATTTGCCGAATAATTAAAAGACTCTAACGAGGTACCCTCCTACAGGACTATTCTCTCCGCGCCCGCGACTACAATGTCAAGAAGGCCAAACTACAACGACTGCGCGAGAAGGCGCGGGATCGTAACCCGGACGAGTTCGCCTTTGGCATGATGTCAGAAAAATCGAATAAACAAGGTCGCCATGGTGCCCGGGGTTCGGAAACTTCAACGCTCAGTCATGAGGCGATTAAGCTACTTAAGACGCAGGATGCAGGATATCTACGGGTTGTCGGGGAGAAAGTGAGGAGGCAGCTGGAAGGGGTGGAGCAGGAGGTCAGATTACAGGATGGGATGAATGGGGTACTTCAGGGGGACACTGGGAGGAAGATTGTATTCGCAGATTCATTAGAGGAACAGAGACGGCTATGGATTGAGAGGGGGGAGATGGAGGACGAAAACGGCGATAGTGACGAGGGACGGTCCGAAAAAGGGGAGGCTTCGTTTGGGGAGAAACAAAAACAGGCGCAGAAGTCCAAGAAGCAGATTGAAGCCGAGGAATGGGCTAGAAGGGAGATGTTGGCTGCAAGGAGATTGAAAAAGAGAGCGACAGAGGTACGAAGGAAGAAGGTCGAGGCACTGCGGGTACAGCATAAAGAGCTCGTTGCAGCTGAGCAGGAACTGGATCGGCAACGGGCGAAGATGGAGAATTCGGTTGGCGGAGTTAATAAGTATGGGATCAAATGGAAGATTAGGGAACGGAAGAAATGAGGTGGGATTTTTGTATCTTTTTTTTTTTTTTTTTTTTTTTTTTTTTTTCGGTTGTTTAATCATTCCTTTAATTTCCCTTCCCCTCTTTGCTTCTGTTTCTGTTTGATTATGGCGGGAAGATATCTTACTGAATTGGTTATAGACAAAAGATTCATGTTAGGGTTTACGGCAGGCGCAGATATTGAAATAGTATGACATAACTATGCACTGGCAGGCGACCAAACTAGGCGTCGATAAATATGAAACGGGTAGGGAATCATCATCCTGAAATTACATACCTTCAAATATATTTACAAAGTCCCCCGACTTCCTGCACCACTCAACTCAAAGTCTACTCGGCATCCTAACAGCCCCATCCAACCTAAACACGCTCCCATTAACCATCCCATTCCTCACACATCCCAACACAAACTCCGCAAACTCCTCCGGCCTCCCCATCCGCATAGGATACTCAATCATCCCACTATTAGCCCCACTCTTTTCCGCAATTCCCGGCCTCTTCTTCTCGCCTCCAGCACCACCAGACGGACTCTTCCTCGGTTTCACTGTCATCCCCGTCTGGAACACCCCCGGCGCAACTCCGACAACCCTAATCCCCGCAGACCTCCCCACCTCTCTCGCCAGCGGCAGCACAAGCCCAGCCACAGCGCCCTTACTCGCCGAATATGCCAACTGCCCAACCTGCCCCTCATACGCCGCCACGCTGGACACAACCACAACCACGCCCCGCTCCCCATCATCCCCCTGGGCCTCCACAACCGCCATATGCGGCAGCGCCAGTCGTATCAGATCCACCGTGCCGCGCAGGTTGATAGCAATGACCCTATCGAAGGCCTCAATGGACATCGTCTTTACACTGCCGCTGCTCGGATCCTGCCGGGGCAGCGCGCGCTCGCCGTACCCGATGCCTGCGCAGCAGATGACGCCTCCCAGGGGTGCGTGGGTGGATGTGGAGATCCAGGAGACTGTGGCATCAATGGCATGCTGGAGACTTTCGGTTTTGGAGACATCTGTGCGTGTATAGAGGGTGCGGGATGGGGTTGCGAGGAAGGGGGAGATCTCGGAGGGGGGTGGGTTGAGGTCTAGGAGCGAGACGTTGGCGCCCTGGGTGAGGAGGGCGACGGCGGTTGCGAGACCGAGGCCGGAGGACCTGTGGGTTTAATTAATGGTGTTAGCTTTGGATTTTTTTTTATTTTCAATTTTTGGATGGAGGAATGGAGTTGCATGGGGAGATAATTTTAGCGGAGCTGCAAATATGACAATTTTTGCGGGTATTTCAAAACGTACCCGCCTGATATAATGAATGTGCGGCCTTCGGGCTTCATATTTTATAATAATATCGGGTTCTTGTTTTCCTTTTCTCTTTTCTTTGAAGAGTATGTACGTAGTAGATACACAATATATCGAACGCGAATTCGGCGGGCGCAGATAAATAAATAGCTTGAGGCTTTGTGGGGGGAACGGAATTGGTTTCGGGACTCCGCAATCTGGGTTAACTAACAGATCGAGATCGAGATAGAAGAAATTTGGCAAGGGAGAGAGATTGAAACGGAGAGTGGAAGTCAGAACGGCAGAGCAATAAAATAAAAGGTAACTATCGCTCTTGCGCGCACAGGAAGGCTGTAACTAGAGACAGGGCTGGAGTTGTTGAAGATTGGGATTATTTGGACCTCGGCATTTTCAGCCGTTACCGTTCGGCTCCTTGGCTTCGGCATGCTGCGCCGTGCCCTATATACGGAGTACTCCGTAGACAGGCTACCAACAGTTAGGATGTACTCCGTACTCCGTAGTCTGTGCAGACTTAGGCTCTATACGGGATATTATCTCATATCAATATCAAAAGTGTCAAAAGTAAAATGCCTACTGGTCAGTCACTTTTCTGAACAATATGAATAGTTAACGTTACCATTCTTGGCAATAGTTAATTATCTATAAAACCAATGGCTCACAATATAAATCAATTCATCGCTGTTACCTCCCATGTTTTTCATCCCACTAGCTTTTATATTTTCTCGTTTCCTGGTACCTCCTTTTTAAATATCATTTTTCCCTTGCCACCCATCTAGTCACGACCCGAGAAGAAGAAAAGAAGATAGTTCATAATAAATAAAAGAAATGCTAGAGAGAGCAAAGAGAAAATAAAAGAGCCACCCGGAAAGTAAAAACGAGATATGCCGAAAAGCTAATAGCCACATTATCACATATGCCCAGGCATCAAGTCAAAAAAGGACTTGCGTTTCTCATTTCTTAGCACGATTCATGTGGTCAATGCGAATGCTGACAGCGCGACGATGGGCATCCAACCCTTCCACTGACGCCAGTTGCATAACCGCCCCGCCCACATTGCGTAATCCCTCAGCTGTGAGATTGGAGCTGGTGATGTGTTTGACGAATGAGGCGAGGTTGACGCCAGAGTATTGCTTGGCATATCCGTAGGTTGCTAAAGAGACGGAAAAATGTGGTTAGCTTACGCATAGGTGAGGTGGGAGAAGATGGGAGAAGGGAGATGCGTGGCAATAGTGATGATGATGATAAAAGAAAGAATAATTTTATATAGGAAAACTCACGAAGAGAGTGGTTGACACCAGCCGAATAATCTCCAACGCTCTCTGGTGTCCACTCGCCGATGAAGACACTGCCCGCATTTTGGACAAGGGGAACAACATCCGCTGCATCCTTCAGTTGTAAGATAAGATGTTCGGGCGCATACCGATTGCTCAATGCAAGAGCTTCCTCGACATCCTTGACGACAAAGGTGACGGAGTGATCAATGGCACCGCGTACAATGTCTACGCGTGGCAGAGCCATAGCTTGCGCGTGCAACTCATCCTCGATCGCTTTCAGATGGCTGTCATCAAGGTCAACAGCGATTAAGATAACTTGGGAGTCGACACCGTGCTCTGCCTGGCTAAGGAGATCGGAGGCGACAAAGGCCGGGTTAGCATCCTTGTCAGCGACGACGAGAACTTCACTGGGGCCTGCTGGCATGTCAATGCTGACACCGGCTGAGGTGTCGTTTGAAACCAACATCTTCGCGGCGGTTACGAATTGGTTGCCCGGGCCTAGGATCTTGTCGACCTTGCTGACGCTCTCGGTTCCGTACGCCATGGCCGCGACTGCCTGCGCGCCACCGGCAAGCACAATGCTTTCTGCCCCGACTTTGTGCGCGATGTATACAATTTCTGGCGAGATGCTACCGTCGGCTCGTGGTGGGGAGGCTAGAACGATCTTCTTGCATCCGGCTACCATGGCGGGAACACCAAGCATCATTGCGGTGGATGGGAGAACTGCCGTTCCACCGGGGACATACAGGCCAACTCTCTCGATTGGACGAGAGAATCGTGAACAAATGACACCAGGCATTGTCTCGACATGTAATGGCTTGTCATCCATTTGCGCAGCGTGGAACTTGCGGATGTTCTCAAAGCTCACATCAATCGCCTTGGCAGTCTCTGGGCTAATCTGCATCAGCTCCTCTGGGAATGGCGCTTTCAGGACGGGAGAGGTGAGCGAGGTAGCTTTTTCAAATTTGTGAGTATATTTCAAGACTGCTGCGTCCCCGTTCTTCTGAATGTCCTCAATGATTGGTTTAACTAGAGCCACGATAGCGTCATTTGATTTTTGCGACGGGCGTTGCAAAGCGTCCTCTATAGTCTCTTGGGTGGCAGTTGCAGTCACAATGCGCTGCATCTCAATCTTGCGAGTAGGATCGCCCATAGCTTTATCACCATCTGTGGCACGTTCAACGGTTTTCTTTTGCTCTTCCTTTGCCGATGAAAGGCCAACTTTTTCAGCCCAGCCTTGTTTGGCATCGCCTCGTCTGCGTTTCACCTTCAGGTTTTTCAGATCAAGATTTCTCTCGATATCTTCCAGGGTCACGCCAGCAGCGACACACTTGGTCAAAGCAAAATACAATAGGTCAGCTGCTTCAAATGCTACCTCCTCCTTTGAAGTAGCATTGCACAGCTCCTCAGCCTCCTCCATGATCTTCGCCTGAACGAGCTTCGGATCATTAAAGAGTCTAGCAGTGTAAGAACCAGACGGTGCATCCTCCTTACGAGCTTGTAGGGTCTTCTGAAGACGAGACAGCCCTCTGTACTGGCCGAAGCAGCTGGCTGTTCCCAAATGACAGAATCCTAAATGAAGAGAATATGTTAGTACGACGGAGTACTAGCCAAAATAATGCCAAAATCATAAACCAAAATCATAAAAAAATACCTTTCCCTTTCTGCTTTACAACAAAGAGTAAGCAGTCACTATCACAGTCGAAATCAATTCTGACCAATTCTTGTGTATCCCCACTCGATTGACCCTTGTACCAGAGGCCGCGTTTCCTGCTCTGGTACACACCAGTGCCCGTCTTCAACGCCTCGGAAATACTATTTTCACTGCTGTAAACCAGGCCTAATGCAATTCCCCTCTCATCCGTCACTACTGTAGTATAGAGACCTGTAGTAGCGTCTGGGGTGGCCCTTGCAACCAGAAGCTTTGCGAGAGAAGATGCGTCATCCTTATCAAGGGATATGGCTGTTGATGGAACAATATTGACAGCATTTTCCGCCTGACTCGAAATCAAAGTCGCCTGTATAGCCGCCGCGCCGCCGTCATACGACCGGTAAACTTCCTTGACAATGCCTTTATCACCCAGTTCTGACACGAGGGCATCTATGGCCGGAGAAAGTGCGCAATGGACACCGATATTCCTCCGTTCAACACTCTCCGCAACCCAGCTCTGCAGCTCCGTAACCTCCTTCGCAGATGAGAGATAAACGATTAGCCTCGACGAGGGGACCGCCTGTTCCGTTGATAAGGTGTCCAATTGGGCTGGCGTAACCAAGGCTTTTGACGCGCCTGCGTTGAGGATGTCAACTACGTCCCCGGCAGATTCGATGGCAGTTGCATCAATGTAGATATCCAGAAGAGAAGAGGAACGTCCAATAAATGCAATAGCACGATCCAGACTACATGCTTTGAGGAGAACTCGACCGAAATAGGAGATCTGTGTCAGAGTGAGACCTGTTGCGGAGGCGGGGGATGAGAGGGATGATAGGGTTTGCGAATCGATCGACACGAGGAACGGGATCCCCATGGTGCGCTGAATTTTCCTGGTCGAATGTTTGCCTCGTTGGGCGCACACGGCGGAGGAAATCTCTGGAGCGATTGGATGGAGCTATGAGGGCAGCGATATGGGACTTGACAGGGAGGTTGATGGTGAGGCGGGGGTGGGAGGTGGGAGGTGGGAGGTGGGAGGTGGGATGTGGGATGTGGGATGTGTGTCATACAACAAGATTTGGTGGAGGGGTTGCAAACTATTTAAATAAAGCTCCGCCGCTTTTCGGAGTCGAACACAGCCACCAAGTTAATTATTTACTAACTTGCTAAAAAACTCGGAGATACGTAGATATATTCATTGCACCTTAACCTTTAGTTTCTTATACGCTACGTATGACCACCTGTTGAATAATACAACAGAGCTGCCTGAGTAATCTGGTAATGTATAGTACCTACCTCTCTGGCGCTCTGTATTCACCGTCTTTTATAGAGCGCAATACATACATATAATAGTAGTAGCTGTCCTACGTTTCACAGATACCTGTTCAAAGTGCAGAAGGTCCGTGGAAAGCAGGCAAACTGCTGCAACGACACTGGTAAGTCTTCAGACAATGGGTTCTTCTATCAACGTTTGCTAATCAATTTCGCAGGATGTTGGCTAAATCCCTGGTATTCGCGCGGAGTACGGAGTATCAAGTAGATCGAAGCAAGATCAGTTTCCACAGCTTGACCTAGTACTTTTATATCAAACTTTCTGGAGTTGTTCAAATCCTTCGAGCCACGTTTGAGGCTTCCAAATTTGCAATTATTGCCGGCTTGACGGTTTACTGGTTGGTTCCCTTGAAGCAGTTGGCAATGCGGAAAAAGAATCCTGCGGCACGAATCCTACGATGTACGATGGACGGAGTACGGAGGTTGAGCTGAACAGCTGCCGGTATATTGGCAAGCAACTTTTACCGGATTGGAGTGAATAATACTTCAGCTCCAGGGTTTGCCGTACAAGTAGCGACTAGGAGATTTTTTGGATGCGCCTCCGAGTCCAAAACGTGGCCGGCATGTAGCAATTGTATCCGACTTGTTTTCCGACACATGTGGGAGAACACAGGCCGCTCCGACATTCCTGCCGGGCGGCTTCCTGGAACCCGAACGCGAATTATTGTCGCCGCAAAAACTAATGCGTTGGGCTTTGGCCCCCGGTCTCCTTTTTCCGACCATCAGCTTTGTTAAGCTAGCGTGATTGATAAGCTAACATGACAGAAGCTCCTCTCATGGATGGCGGTGACTATTTCCTATTGTAGGTTGTGCTTCCCGAGTAGCTGGTTTCATAGATGTATTTAAGAAACCTGCCAACCCCGGCCGTTTATGATATGTTGTCAAGAGCAGCAAAAGCAGTTTACTTGGTCGATCCATCGGACATCATCATACCAGACTGAACTTCTCAAAATTGACGTACTTGAAAAATTACTTAGCTTTCATCTCCCGCTCAAAATAAGCAATGACGATCAAGCCCATCATTGTTTGGCTGACTCGTAAGTCAAGCTCCAAGTTGTCCTTGATCAGGTATAAATGCCATTGTGTGTAGACTGACAGCTGACTTGGCTATTAAAAAAGCCTCGGGTCCAAATCCGTGGAAGGTGAGTATCCAACCCTGCAATTAATCATCGCAAGAATCATGATGTTTCAGGGCTAACGAAATCTCTATGGAAAGGTGGTCACGATTCTTCATGAGCTTGAGGTCCCTTATGTCATTAATTCATTCAAGTTCGACGATGTCAAGAGGCCGCCCTTCATCAATGTTAATCCTAACGGTCGAGTTCCGGGTAAGAAGAGCCAGATACAAGCCCGCTCGTTCTTCTTTCTTGCTAGAAGCTGAGTTGGAAACAGCTATCGAGGATCCAAATACCAGTCTGACTCTCTGGGAGTCCGGCGCTATTGTGCATTACCTAGAGGAGGTATACGATAAAGAGAAGAAACTGACATACGACAGTCTGCATAAGAGGCATCTGCTAAATCAGTGGCTTCATTTCCAAGTCAGTGGTCAGGGCCCGTACTATGGGCAAGCTGGATGGTATGCTTCCCAAGCAATTTTCCCGTCCCACCATGAATATTCACTAAGGGCTTCTTCTTGGTCTGCAGGTTCACTGTCCTTCACCATGAGAAAATCCCCTCAGTCATCGAGCGTTATCAGAATCAAGTTCGCCGAGTTTTGGAAGTTCTGAACGGTGTCCTTGAAGGCAAGCAGTGGCTTGTCGGTGACAAGTGCACCTATGCTGACTTGTCCTTTATGCCTTGGAACAACCGCCTTGACTTGCTGCTCGAAAGCCCTGACCCCCTTGCCCCGTATCCGAATGTACAGGCATGGCAACGCCGTATGGAGGCTCGTGACTCGTGGAAGAAGGCTATGGAGGTCAGGGAAAAATATATGAATGAGCAGGGCTTGCAGGCAAACGGAATGCCTTTGGGTATAGATAATGCCCAGCAGTATGAGGAGCTTATTGCGCAGAACCATGCAGCGGCGGAGGCTGCGAAGGTAAAGGCTGCAAAGGCTTAGGGGCTAAGTTTTCTTGCTTTAATTACTGACGAAGGATGTCTCTTTCCTTACCTCTATATACATACATTTTAGTCCACCTATACGTCATGGTGCACACGATGAATAATCTTTTGTTCAAGGTGTATGTAGCGAGTGCATTTGTTGATTCCTATGGAGCGTATATGACCCCTCTTTTGGCAATACCTAGAAATGAGTGAGATAGGCTTCCTATCGTCCATCCATCCAATTCATATCCTGACGATACTTGTTCATACCCACTACCTAGTACCTACCCAATGAAAAAAAGCTTGAAGTAGGGCGAAAATAAATATCTCCACCACTTACATATCGCACTCTCGTTCCCGTTGCATACTCGTGTGTCCAAATCTTTCTATACTTCGTTGTTCGATTTGAATAATCATGGATGAACGAGTATATTCCCGTAATGTACTGTAATCCCTGCGCAACCCTTATTAATATTTGTAATTATGCAGTGAGTTATCCCACAGCCTGGGGGGAATACGGGATTAGGCGCCGGCCCAGAAAATCATATAGTTCGGCATGCCGAAACTTGAATCAGCCAAAAATCGGCGCCTAGTTCAACTCTTAACACCCTACTAGATATACATATTTAGCGTTTTATTTTAGTAGAAAGTTTTCTAATAGGTATTATAGCCGCTAAATTGCAGTAACTGATTGTGAAAGAGTACTAAATCTCTTTCCTATACTAAAGTACTCTTCAGTGAGTAGCTCAGTACTCACGTAGTAAATATCCCGCGTCGTAGTGCACTGGCCCCGAAATTGCAAATAGGGCTCCTCCTCCTAGCTATAGTAGTGAAGTATTTTCAAAAATACACGGAGTTAAATTGTCGGAATGGGTGTCACGGATGAATATGTTGGAGACATATGAATCTTATGTGTATCAAGATCTGCTTGTTATATTATCTGTACACTATCTCATATATCTATTTCATACAAAAGATAGAGCTATTTATAGTAAAATATATGTGCGAGCCAAGAGAGCTAGCATAAGTGAGTATTAGATGAGTGTTATAGTAAGCTGATGATGATGAGAAATATTGTAGTAATATGATGTTAGTGATATTCAGTAGTATATAACCTCTTTTTTCTGACACACTCTCTTCAGCAAATGTAACATGTAAATGAAAGTGTAAATGAAAGTGTAAATGAAGCTGCAATAAAAAGAGTGTAGATGAATCTATAGAGATTATATTAAGATAGACTATTTATTCTGCTTGCATCTCAATAATATCTGATATATCAACTAGGCCTAGTATCTTGATGAATTCTGTATGTTTCTGGCATGGCAGAGCCTTAGTGAGGTCATCCACTGGCATCTGAGCTGTAGACACTCAATCAACTGTAATATTACTGAATTGAACATGTTCTCAGAGCCAGCTTTCATATATATCAATATGATGAAGCTTCATGATTATAGAGAGATCTTTCTTTATAAGAATGTCAACAGTTTGACAGTTATCATATTAAATACAGATCTTGTGATCAGATTTAAATTAAATATGTTGAAAGAATCTATCTTATCAGATAGACTTCTTATCAACTTATAAGATAGTAACAAGCTCAGCTTCTGTGATAGATATAGTTATAATTATCTATCTATTTAATTTTCAATCAACAGTCTCACTGAATAGTTTAAAGATATATTCTTATATAGAGCAGTGATTCAGATTATCTATAAAAGAGATATTACTAATGACTTCAATAATATCAGGTTTAAGATCAAGTTGTAGAGATCTGTTAATATTATTATTATATTGAATAGCAAGATTCTTTGTATTATATAAATAAGATATCATTCTATTCATCTCTGATAAGTGATATTCTAATGAATTTATCATAAATATAGCTAGTTTACTCACTGCATATATAATATCAGAGTGAGTCATCATCACTGAGTAGATACAGAAGCTGATACATTATTAATAATAATGAATTTTTACAGATATGACTGACTTATTAAAAGGCTCTAGCAGAGCACTAGTTAGTGAGATATATGCCTTACAGATGTGTGTGAGATGATATATATTAACTATCTTATCAATATAGGCATTCTGACATAGTCAGAGCTTCAAGTTGAGATAATCATATATTATTCACATGTTGAGAAATCATTTCAAATCTCTTATCTATCAGATCTTATAGATGTTTTTAAGATCTTTGATTAGTTAATCTCTTTCTTTTAAATCTTCTTATTGTGATAGAATGATGATATCATTCATATAGAAGAAGATAATTAATTAATTATTAGAGAAGAGACATTGATTCTCTGATATAGAGATAAAGTCTAGTATTCTCAATATTAAGAATAGTTCATTTAATCAGAGAAGAAGTGATCTGTGTAAATTATATAGTACTTATAGAAGTTTTAGTACATAATTTATACACTTTAAATTTTACACTCTCTTCAACTTTCATCATTCATTAGATAGTTTTATATATACTAACTCATCAATATCACTATTAATGAAGATATTGATTTCATCTAACTATTTCATATCTAGATTAAATACTGTAGTTAGAGCTAATAAGATTCAGAGATCTCTGATAGCTAGTGTGTGAGCTTTTATAGTAAGATCTGTGATTAATTGAAGATCTTCATATACATAGATATGAGCTTTATATTTTAAAAGAAAATCTTCATTATCAAATTTATAGATGAATACTTATTATAGAGAAATAACTGAGATATCTCTCTGTAATCTGCTAGTAATTTTATATATATTCTGCAGAGATATACTATCTCATTCTTATTTAACAGTATTCTCAAATTCTTCATAATGTGAGTGTTTTTTAATATCTGCTCAGTGATTCAGTGAATCTGACAGTTGAGATCTATAAATTCTTGAAGTTAGTATAAATGCTGTTGATATAGCTGTATTATTAATAACTATGAAAACAGTATCTGAAAATAAATATTGAGACTTATTAAAGTCTGTATGTGAATGTGAATGAGAGAATACATTATTAATCATTTAATAAGAATTATCTTTAGTATTTTCAACTGCTATAAGATGAGCAGCTCTGTGTTTTCATATTCTGCAATCTTCAATGATATTAGCTTCATCAAAATTAACACTGATATCATAAGCTTTAAATGCAATGTTCTGTGTTTAATTATCTATCACAGCTGAATGAGTATTAATATCAATATTAGAATCTGTTAACTCTGACATTGAATCTGATGTAGAAAGAATTGAAATATTAGAAAGAATTAAAATATTATAGTATTTATACTCATTATTCTTCTTCTCTATTTTTTCAGAGCTTTGAGTATTTTCTTCAGAGCAGAAAACATTAATATCTGCAGTGTCTATAATCTCTTTCAATTAATTAATAGAAGTCATTGATGATTCTTGAACTTTTATATATAGAAGCTTTATCTTCTTAGATACTCAATCTCTTAGTTGTCTTTTGATGTAGAGGTCTTCAGAGTTGAATTTTCTATTCTTATTAAATATCACATCTCTTACTCTTATCATCTGTTCTAAGTGTGAAATTCAAATTCAATAGATGTTTGTAGAATCATATTCAACTAGATATTTAATATATACTCAGAGATCTAGCTTCTGAGAGTGATTTCTATTGAGAACTTTATTCAGTATTTTTGCATAGATGTGATATTCATAGATTTGAAGATAAGTGTAGAAGTAAGATTTGATTTGTAGAAATTCTTTCAATACTTATAGAGATGACTTTCAATCTAAGATTCTAGTAGAGATTTGATTCACTAGATAGATAATAGTAAGTGCAATCTCAGAGAAAAGTGATTGTAATAGAAGAGATTCTATCTATAGAGTTCTTATCTTTATTATTAATATTACTTCTACTCACTCTGCTGTATTATTTTGCTCATGAATATACTCTGAAGAATACTTCATCTCTAGATCTTCATTATTCACTCAATTTATGAAGTCATCTGCTTTCTTAACTGCAGTATTATTATCAATACAAATAATCTTTATAGTACAGTTGAATTGATGTTTAATTCAATTAATAGCTTATCTAAGAGCTTTTCAGATTTCTGATTTTCAGATAGCTGTTATAGCTATATGAAAATGTAAATAATCACATATGAAATGTATAAGATAACACTCATCATTATAGCACTGTGTAGAGTCATGTGTAATATTCATGTATAGATGTTCAAATGATATTTGAGATTTAATATAAAGATATTTAGATATTTGATTTTTTGCATTAGATAGATAACAGAGTTTACAAAGCTTATTAATAAGCTCATCTGCAGTGTCTTCTAGATTGATGATTTGAACATCAGTTGCATCATTTACAAGCTTTTGAATGATGATTTTTAATGAATATTCTAATCTCTTATATTATATAGACTGAGTAGCTATAGAGATCTTAGATTTTTGAGAAGATTTTATGCATATTGACAGGTTGAAAGAATGATTTATTGAAGTGTGTTTTAACAGATTAGAAGAAGAATTTGTAGAAGTTAAAGAATTTAAAGATATTGTCTTTTCAGATATAGTAATATTAGAAGTGTGTGATGTAATAACTGCAGTAGCTTCAGTAGTGAATTTTTCTAAGATAGTTGAGAAAACAGCTATTTCACTATATTCTATAACTAGTAACTTCTCAAATACTTCAATACATGCAAAGATTATACTATCTGTATATTTTTACAATCTGAAGTCTTTTTTATCATAATAGATGCCTTCTATATGAAAACATGGTTTTCATGCAATGATATTTATATGAAAATTCAGAATGTAAGCTATATTAATGAGATTGATATTGAACTGCTTATCTGCTTCATTTATCATGATTATTCTAACAGTTTCATAATCTTTAACTTTAATACTGAAATCATCTGTATAGACTTCTGCATTCTTATTCACAGGTGTAAAGAATAGAAAATGTATTTAATTATTATATATATGCTATTCTGTGTCAGTATCAAAGATTCAGAAGTTTCAGAGATAGAAGTAAGAATTTAAAAAGTTTATTAATATTTTTCAGATCTGTTGATTGATAGATTAATAATTGATAGATTGAGAATCTGATTACTTCAGAATTATTTCTCTCAGAACTGCTTCATTAACATCTATTATATCTGTATTTATAAATAAATCTCTAGATATTGCACAGTCAATGTGTCTCTTCAATTCTTGATTCTTAAGAGCTTAATTAATCTGAGTTCTCTTCTCCTCATTTTTCTTTCATTCAGATGACTTTCTTAATGAATTGAGATAGTAGTACAGAGTATATCAGTGATAGGCTCTGTAAATACAGTTTCTGAATATTACTGATAATGATTGCTGAGATCTTTCATTAAGAGTAGCAAAGTTCATAGATTTATCTTCTTTGAGAATACTCATTTTTCTATACTGTTTCTTGAAGTTCTTAACTAACTCTATCAAAGATATAACATCTTTATCATATCAGACATTCTTAGTTCATACTTGTATATAATCTACATTAATAGCTAGATTCATATTTAAGAAGTCTTTCTTCAAGTTAAACTGTTCAGCTATATTCATCTCTTTGATATCATCTTTAATAAGTGATCAGTTATTTAATCACTTCTTTATATCTTTGTTTTTCAGTGCTTTGCAGAGATCATGATATCAGATTCTCACATTATCTTGATAGTTTATAATTGTGAATAAGAGATAATCTCTTAATGAATGAATAATGTTCTTTACATCATTATTCTCACTGTATACATGTTATAGCTCTGTGACATTCACTGTTCTTTATATAATATCTTGTATCTTTGTCATACCTTCATTCAATTTCTCATATTTCATATATTTGATTTTTCACACAGTGATCTTGATATTATATACTATCTTAGCCTCTGTGATAGCTTCTTCTGAATACTCAGGTTTCAGAGATTCTTCTAGTTCAGAGAAGATATCAGGTTTATCAAGATTAATGAAGTCTGATATCTTCTTATTCTTTGCATATTCTAGCATATGCTTGTATCAAAGTTTTCAATCTTCAGAAATGCTAAGGTGTACAGTTGTACTAGACATTGTCTTATCTGTCATATCAGTTATATTGAATGAATTGAGGAATCAGTTCAAGTATTTGAGGATAGATATGATCAGAATTCAGAGTGTATAACAGTCAAGTATATCAGAACATATATGAGTGAGAATCTATCATCTCAGTTCAAATGATAGTTATCAGTTCAAATGAGGATTGAGATCATGAATCAGGTATAACAGTTGAGTAGATTGTACTGTATACAAATGAGAATCAATCATCTCAGTTCAAATGATTGTTGTCAAATTCAAATGAGAATTGAGATCAGTGTATTACTCTTCTCTTCAGATGCTGCTTACTGAGCTTATAACTGTTGAAATGGGTGTCACGGATGAATATGTTGGAGACATATGAATCTTATGTGTATCAAGATCTGCTTGTTATATTATCTGTACACTATCTCATATATCTATTTCATACAAAAGATAGAGCTATTTATAGTAAAATATATGTGCGAGCCAAGAGAGCTAGCATAAGCGAGTATTAGACAAGCATTGTAGTAAGCTGATGATGATGAGAAATATTGTAGTAATATGATGTTGGTGGCGTTCAGTAGTGTATAACCTCTTTTTCCTGACATAAATATTGTCAGGGTAAATTTGAATTCCGCAGAGCAGAGAACGTGGAATGGTTGGATCGCAGTCAGAACTGCGGGGCAAGGAATTGACTGTGGCAGTTACTCTGGAATGTCTGACTCCGTAACCGGTCCTGCTACCTCACGCTAGATATCCCTAGTTTGAAAACTTATCCTTGACATAAATTGAAAGACGCTTATGGTTCTCAAAACTATTTTTAATAAATTAACGTTGCGTGCAAGGTTGTTTTGGACGAAAAAACTGAATGTGGGGATCATCGGGAATACCAATTGAGGTAAACCACCTCATGTGCCCTTCTAAACTACCCGATTCGGCGAGAAGAAAGTGTTCTCGATTTCTTTTGCCTCTTTTGCCTAGTCCAGTCTTGCACGGTTGTGGCGCGCTGCTGGGATGATCGGCAGCGCTTCGGCCTAGCGCCGGCTGGCTTCCTTGGCAGATGATCGGTCAAAATACGCTATAATGTCAAGCTTATTGCACGGCACTGAATAACAGGCGAACTTTCGGATGTTCAGAATGTCTAATTGCACATGATTATATGTTTTATTTATCTGGTTGATTTGGTATCAGTGACTTGAAGATAATCACCAGTTTCCGATTGCAAGGTCATGTTGTCAGCGTGGTACCGTACCGCCTCCTGACCAAGGACAGGAAGAATAGTGAACGAATTTAACCAGAGGTTATTAAAAGCTGTCACGCTGCATTTCGCTTTCTCGCATCCCGAGCTGTAGTGCGCCATGTACCGTATCCCGAATGGTCTCGAAGCTGAACCTTTTACACTCGATGTTACCCTCATCTATTTCCATGATTAACCCTTCGGTGGGGAAGAAATCCCGATGGCGGCTCGAGTGATGCGCCCGGGATTGGCTGACAAGATCCCGACGAGTAATAGTAGGGAAATTGCAAAGTGGATTTTGAGGCGTGTATCATTGCTGAGTGTATACCAAAGTTGAACCTCCAGGTAGGATCAAACTGTGCATATTTAACGAGCGCGGTTTCGACAGCATTTGCCCAGTTGAGTTGTTCAAAGGCAGAGAGAATCATGCAGCAGAAAATGTAAATAGTCATGTGCGACTTGACTTCCTGTCTAGGCTATCCAGACTTTCTGCCAAGTCCACAGGAATTCGTTGTCTTCAAGTTGTTATCTTCATCGGATATGAGGGTTTACCGTCAAGGTGAACGTAGGGTGTGTGGTCTCAACTAGTGGTTGCAGCTCAGGTCATGCGGCTTGAGTCAACGTTTTCAATCAGACTATTTGTTCGTCGAAGCATCGCCATTGCTTTCTGTAGTAAATGAAAGCTTACTGACTGAAGGTCGGAAGTTGGTGGTCTCGATATGCACCAGGCTGCTGCTAATTGTGACACGAACCTCACACCAGACCGGGAGAGACCGACCAGGCCGCTATTCTAGATTAGGCATAGTTAGTTACAGGACCCTAGTTACCCACGTGAGATGCTTACTTTTCCCCCCTGAAAATCGCCATGAAATGAAGCAGAGCAGACTCCCTCCCTCCATGAGACAATCTCAACTCGCTCCCGTCCACTTCCTGTACTTCATATGCAACCGCGTGGTGAGGTGCATGCACGGCACATGGTACAAAATGAGACTCACTTACATGCCGGACATTGTCCGCAACTTCTTGACGAAACCTTCCAGTGTTTCACTAGCCATGGCCGTCTTCCTCTTCCTGGGTTGATGCCCGGCTTGTAGCTGATCAAGGACTGATGTTGGAGTGTTGGAGTGTTGGCGCGGGACCGATATGCGGGCCTCTACCAATGTTCTTGCACGGGTGATGCTAGATATCGCATGCTCACTGCTGAGACCGTTGTGACCAGCATGATCTAGGCAGAGTCCAGGTCAGGAGAACAGGTCCTTGAGAGAAAATGGCTGCCGTATCTCTGCGGGTTAATACTCACCCTGCTGGTACATTTGTAATGTACCTTTCTTTACTGGTGGTGGCATCTGCCAGTCTGTTTTATACATGAGACCAAGGAAGGCGCCAAATTGCTCTCGATGTGGCTGGCTCCTGCCAGTTCATTTCGTGCTCGGCTCTTTTCAGATTTCTCCTTATGATTTTTCATTCTACTACTTCACGATTATTTTTAAACAAGTCTTCACTGTTTTGGGGTAGTTGAGGAGCTTATCGTGACGTAATCTTCTAAGATGCGGCAGATTTCTTTCGGGGTCTTCTTAACAGCGTTCGCCCTGGTCCGATTCGCAGTTTCGTCCCCAGTACTTCACAAAGAGTATATCCGTTCACAGAAGAACGCGGATAGAGCACAGGAGGTTAAAGACGCATTTGAATTTGCTTGGAATGGCTACATGGAATATGCGTTTCCTCAGGATGAACTGCGCCCGGTCTCTAACACTGCAAGCAACTCACGGTTTGTGGATTCCTCACGTCTAATCTTGCCTCTACCTCAGAGATTAATGGCTGGAGCAGAAATGGCTGGGGTGCTTCAGCCGTCGATGCCCTTTCCACCGCGATTATAATGGATAGCCCCGACATTGTCAAGACGATTCTAGCGCATATCGCGAAGCTTGACTATTCGAAAACGGACACACAAGTTAGTTTGTTTGAGACCACAATACGCTATTTGGGGGGAATGCTTTCAGGCTATGATTTATTGAGCGAGAATGATATGGGTCAAAACGCAAGTATTCCGCGGCTTTATAATAATCTGCTCTCGTTTATTCAACTGCTCTGCTGATCAACCTTTTAGCCTGACCATATCGACTCGCTCCTAGCCCAATCTCAAAATTTAGCAGATATCATGAAATACGCGTTTGACACTCCAACCGGTATCCCGTCGAATAATCTGCGCATAAACAACAAGACGATGGTAAGGCCTATATATCTCCACCCTATTTAAGAAGCTATGACTTGATGACTCTGGACGGGACGTGTCAGTCATATAATTCGGCTTTGTATTTTCACGGTCGCCACAAGCGAGGGATGAAGGGGAAATAACTAACGTCGGATAGGATGGCAGGACCTCGAGTGGGATTGCGGAGGCTGGAACTCTGATACTCGAATGTGAGCCACCCACAGCCCTTCTGACACAGACCATACTTACTCGACACAGGGATGCACTTGTCCGATCTTACTGGTGAACCAGAGTATGGCGAACTCGTCGCGAAAGGCGAATCTTATCTCCTTCACCCGAAGCCACCAGCGACCGAGCCTTTTCCCGGTCTTATCGGTTCAGATATCAACACAACCACTGGATATTTTGTGAATGCAGATGTCAGTTGGGGTGGAGGTGCCGATTCATTCTATGAATATTTAATCAAGATGTTTGTTTATGATGAGACTCGGTTTGAACTCTACCGAGACAGGTGATAGTCCCCGTACCCTCCCCACATTGACATTTATGGCCTTCTTGCTAATATTTAAGCATGTAAGATGGGTTCTCGCGATTGAATCGTCGATTGAACATTTGAAATCTACGATATCTTCGAACCACGGCGAATATACTTATCTAGCTGGGTTTAGGAACGGCAAACTTGACTTTACTTCCCAGCATCTAACTTGCTTCAATGGCGGCAACTTCCTTCTTGGTGGTCAAGTTCTTTGTCGCCAAGATTTTATCGACTTTGGCTTAGAGCTCGTCAAGGGTTGTTATCACTCGTATCATTCAACCGCTACAGGAATCGGTCCAGAAGGGTTCGGTTGGGACCCGAAGAAGGTACCGGACGACCAAAGAAAGCTTTTCGAGGAGGAGGGGTTTTATATTACCCACAGCAATTATAACCTCAGACCTGAGGTTATTGAAAGCTACTATTATGCGTACAGAGTGACTGGAGACCCCATGGTAAGCGAAAATTTTGTTACCCCATCGCTGTCTTCCAACTCCTTATATTCATAGACAGTTAACTTTTGAACAGTACCAGGAATGGGTATGGGAAGCCTTCGAAGCGGTTCGCAAGATTTGCCGAACGGAGTCTGGCTTTACCTCAATTGGCGATGTAAATAGTCCAACTGGTGGCAGAAAGTTAGATTTCCAAGAAAGCTTTCTCTTCGCTGAGGTCTTGAAATATGCCTACTTGGCATTTGCTCCGGGTAAGTCCTTAACTCGTTGTTTCAATGCAAGATGCGCTCGTTTATTTCACGTTAGACTTCACTCAGCTTCCCGCGCCTTTCCTGCCAAATTCATGTATTATGCTTTGCTAACGACCCTTACAGAAGCAGATTGGCAAGTAGCCGGCAAGGGAAAGAACAAGTGGGTTTACACTACCGAAGCCCACCCTTTAAAGGTCCTGACGAAAGCATAGACTTGACCAAGAGGAGGAGGGCTCTCTGTACGGAGGTAGAGGACAAAATGTAATATTTTCTTCTTAAACAAGTGCCTATGTATGCAGGTTGCAACACAGCTGCTGTTTCATGGGTTTTATTTTCTCATACCCAACTCCTAAACTTGCGGGAATTCGGGAGACACACTTTTTGCCATTTTCTTTCTTGGTTATTTGAAGTATGGGTGGAGTACATTAAAACATCATGCTTCATGGATTGCTTTGCAGTGCATTTGGAACAGAAGCACCAAACTGGATGAATTATGTTTATGAAGTAAAATGGGAGAATTCCTGCCCAAAGCTTAATAGTTTTTGAAGTAGTAGTGTTCTAATGGACAGCTACCTTCTAGTCTTAATTCTCTTAATATAAACCCTAGTTTAGAGGAGAGAGATAGATACCTTATCAACGTAGGCTCGGCAGTTGTAATGAGTCGCTCCATTGCTGATATTTTGTCTACCGCTGTTGTACATGTACATGTACAATGAATGCGAATCCAACCAAGGACCCTTGATGATTTCCCTTTGTGGAGTTCTAAATGGTGGAAGATTAACTACATACGATTAAAGAAATGGCAGTGAAGTGCGCATACTTGAAGTAGTCAGAGCTTTTATCCGCAAGGTAAGTGTGAACCCTTGTCTACATATTTTTAAATTGATTTACAAAACTTGGTCACGAAACGGGGGCCCTAGAAACGTGACGAAGAGGCAGATTTCATGAGCACGTAGCGTAGCAATTAGGGCAACCATCCAAGGGGTTACGTGAAGGAGCCAGTACAGTCCGTATAGGACCGCAAGGGCGTTCCACTTCTAAGGAAGGAGTTATTTTCGTCGTCTATTTGTAATAAGTAGGAAGGAAGTATTATAGGGTAGCAGAACTGATGATGAGAATTGTATTGTTGACACAAAGCTGAGTTAAAAGGTGAAAGAGATGAAAGGGAAACAAACAAGGTATCAACAAATCCCCCAACTTGTTCATGACAGGCTGTAAAGCTTCTACTTCATTTTCCTTAGTACTGTTATCAGCTATACCCACAAATGTTTAATGACATTGTCTTCCCTCTTTCCACTCATTCTTCCCAAGCGGATGACCAAGCTCAGCTTCGGGATCTGCCCACGGTTTTGGCCATAAATAAGCGTCCTTCGGAAGCGGCATTCGGCTGAACTTCCCAACATCAACGGCATGCTCCAGGTTCCACTTCATTATGGCATCAAAGTCGCGGCATTTGTGGTTGATACTGAAATCCGGCCAGAGCTTTCCGTGGTCTCCTACCCAAGCGACCGTTATCATGTCGGTGTTCCCATAGCACTTGATATTCTGTAGCAGCATATCAACACAATGGCCAATGTGAACCCACCAAATCTTCGAGTATGCGTCTTCCGTCTCTACTGGCGTATAGCCGGGGTATGTTGCGAAGGCTGCTTTTCGCAACCTGTTCAGGCAGTGTATTTGCTGTTGTTGATGTTAACGATATATAATGAACACGCGATGCACTCCACGGCCCTAGTTACCTACGTGGAAAATATCCAGCTGTGCCATATACGCATCTTGTTCAAATCCCCAGTACTCGTCGTCGAAGCGTGCGACAGTATCAGGGTCCTTGCCTAGTTTGATAATATCATCACGCGTGACGACATGTGTGCGAATTTTCTCGAAGACTTCCCAAGTGGCGTCGTTTTCTGCACTGGGCTCCTGTCGTGAGAAATCGGGATCGGGAGGGGGGAAGAGAGTCCCGTTCATTCGGACAGTATATGTTGGGATTTCGATCTCGTCAAGAACCTTAGCTATGTATGTAGAATTAGCCTATATATTCAGCCTGAAGTGTGCCGGGGGCTTTTTACCCACACCAGTATGAAGTTTGTTTGAGCGCTGCGTTTTTCCCAAACATCGGCGGGGATGAAGATATGCATAGCAAATACACGAGAACACTGGAAACTCCGATGATAAAGCCGGCCGCTGCTGAGAAAATACACTTTGTTCTTGAAGACGTTAAGTGATTGGGATAAGGCAACCTTTTGGTTAAAAGACTCTCTTCGGCTTCCCCGTCGTAGTCATCCAGTTCTCGATTGAGACAATTGAATCTGGATTGACCAATCCATTTTCTAAACATGCTGACAACCAATATCAGTTGGCAGGGTGCAAAGGCTGCTTAAGGAAGAGGAGGATGAGGTTAGGGAAAAGACTATATGCTTCATGGCTCAGCTGGTAGTCGACGACGACTACTGCTTCTGCAGGAGGCATTCAGTCGGCCTATTATTATACCCCTGGCGGTTTAACGTTCCTCTTAACTTGGTCAATCAGCCCGATGATGGCAAAGTAGTGAGGAAATATCAAACAAATAAGTAAGCCAATGTTCTCACGGTGAATCACTTGCCTCTCAGCATGCAATATAAAGTGATACAGATTCTCTCAACAGGAACGGAGAACAATATACTTAGCAGAGGATTGTTCTTCTGAAAATATAGGGATAGGATATCATCAGGCCTATCGTATCATTCCGCCTGATATGACCATGATAAAACCGATATCATGGAATATCATATCATTAGTTACACTTGGTTCAAAAGCAATGTAACGTTTCCGTGATGAAAGACGGGAATTCTGGTCATTGGCAGCCTCAGAGGTCTGGAAGGAGAATTACTGGCCAAAAATGCATGCACCGACCCAAGATCCTCGCAGTGATCAGCGAAGTCACACCTGAGCTCATTACCCCATGTTGAATGAAGCATCAACAGGATTTCCTTCCTTGCCACTTTTATGGGAGGGGTCGGGCAGAGACGGTGTACAAAGGTCAGAGCGGAGAGTCCAAGGAATTGGAATATAAAGCTAAAGGGATATCAACCTTCTAGAGCCATTCCCCTGGAAAATATGTTCGCACCTTGCCTCTCTGTGTTTACTCCATTCGAAGCTTCCCTGCCTTCAGCCACCTGTCAGCAGATCAAAATCTCTCTCTCTCTCTGATAAAGAAACATATCAACCAACATCAACTCCAAGTGCACTTTCCAAAATGTGGCTCGCCTACCCCTTCGTTGTCTTTGGTGGAATCATAGCCACCGTTCTATCGGCCCCAATTATCAATGATGGAGGTGGTACTGCAAGAACCGAGCAGGAATCTACAAGTGTTGCAGCACGTGTTTTAATTCCCGTTCGCATCGCCCCGGAAGCACCGCGAAGCCTCTGTGACAGAAGCCTGCCACCACCATTGGGAAAACATGGCAATAAGAAGAGACAGGATTGCTTTAGCTATTCCAGTTACAGTGACAATCCCGAGAAATCGAAGCGACAGGACGATTTTGGATATTCTAGCTACGCTGATCAGCCTGAGAGGGAGAAACGAAAGGTTCCTTCTCGTTATGACAGACCTGTGATTGCGAAGCGGCAAGATAGCTTCGGCTATTCTGATTACGACGACAACCCCGAGATATCGAAGCGACAGGACGATTTTGGATATTCTAGCTACGATGATCAGCCTGAGAGGGAGAAACGAAAGTTTCCTTCTGGAGATGACAGACCTGTGATTGTGAAGCGGCAAGATAGCTTCGGCTATTCTGACTACGACGACAACCCCGAGATATCGAAGCGACAGGATGGTTTTGGATATTCTAGCTACGATGATCAGCCTGAGAGGGAGAAACAACAGATTTCTTCTGGTTATGGCAGACCTGCGAATGCGAAGCGACAAGATAGCTTTGGCTATTCCGATTACGATAGCAACAAGGCGAAGAGGGAAAGGCGACAGTTTGGCTATAGTAGTTATGCCACCCCTCGACAAGTCTCAGAGGGAGAAGAGTAAAAAGGAAACATCGGCTAAGGCTGAAGATTTAGGGTATGCTCCACGTTAACCGTCCATCACCGATATATGAACAAATATCCAAGCTGCTGCCTGCATATTCCCATTGAAGCTAGATAAGTGGCTAATCCTTTCACAGAGGGTAGACGGCATGATAATGCGGAGATCGAATAGAGCCAAATAAATTAGGGGCTTGGGGATCGTTGGTTGGCGTCAAATGTAAATTAGTTCAGTTCAGCGTTTAGGAAACGGGACAAGAACTAGTTCGCCTCTGGAAACCTCCCAAAAAGAGAAAACGACTGTTCTATCGAGATATGGCCCGTTCTTTTTTTATGTGATCCTCTCCAGGAGCGATATTTCACACTGGAAGTTGTGGTTTTTTGACTTTGTATCTACCAATCTAGTCGTGTTATGAAGGTAGACAATTTTCGGTTTATTGGGCAGTTGGAATGCGATTGGGAGTTACTCGTTCCAGTTTTGGCTGCCAGTGACAAAGCTCGTTCAATAAATGTAATCGGTTAACCCACACCGGTAAATTTGTGTACGCCGCTCTAGATGTTCGATGGCCAATTCAATCGCGTTCGAACTCGAGCCATACGTCGGGTAGTCAGCTGTTCAACAAAAGTTGAAAGGTCAAATTATCCGAGCCAATATATCACAAACAATGGTATTAAGTGGTTTCACCACACGGCTTCATCTTCGTTCCCGAATATAGACAACTCCGTTAGCTCGGATGCTATGGGCTGACGCTGGGTTATCACTGGTGCCGCTGGCTATCAGGGGAAAAAATGCCATTCCGCCGCTATTAGAAGTTTTGTGTCCCCTGTGTCGTCTATACGTAGGCTCGTTGCACTAGGGCTCATATTTTCAGTAGTAATCCAACAGTTAATTTCTAGTTGGCATATATGTCATTGTCGGTTGTACCGGTCACAGAGTATTCGGATCCGCCTAAAAACCCAAGCCTGCTCATATCAAAGTCCCGTGGTAACGGGTTTTGAGCACCGCAGGTCGGGATAAAATACAAACCATGGGCGAAAGTAAATTGGGTGAAAGTTCAAGAGCTTGTCAGGGGTGTAGTTTAGGATCGTGATCAGCATATTTTCGCGTTTGCTCTTCATGAGAAGTTCGCCGTTATATGTGTGCTACGGTTGGCAAATGTGGAGTGTAGATGGTAGTTGGTGAATTAAGTGCTCATGATCTGGGAAGCATCACGATTCAAATTAGGTAAGTTAACGTAAGGCGCCACTAACTTAGCCGAGCAGCCGGCCAATAAAATCCAAACCTGTCTTGGCAGCCGCAACCTTATCCGAACTTCAATTCGAGCAGGCTGGGGTCTATATAAAGTATTCTCTTCGCAATGGGCTCATCGTGTCCGTTCAAGGAAAACTTGGAGATTGGTTCGACTACGTAATCTGGATGCTTGCATCCGGATTGATTATATTGTCCCTTCTGTAATACTGAATCCCTAAATTCTTGGGCCAACCGGAAATGAGTTAGAGCCACCCATACCATACCCCTATCTACTTGTATTTACTGACGTTACAACTTTAGGAGTACAGAACATATGTGCAATTGCACAACTAGTGAGGGTTTTTGTATACCTCAATCGAGTGGATTCGAAGTTGGCTAAATTTGGCGAGCATCGCTTGGCTATGTGTTCTGGGAAACGCGCAAGCCAACGAACGAAGTGGCTACTCCACATGATATTTCCGTCATTATAGCCCCCAGAGCATTCATGATCCGGTATCTTAGGGTAGCACAGTCTCCCTCCTACCTTTTTATTTCACTTTGGATCCATACTTTTTAGTGCTTACTCGCTATATCTGCGACCTTGGATCTGGCACTTCTGACACCATAACTACTGCTTTCAGATTATATGATCTGGCGAAGACGGATTGCTGTCAGGTAGTGTCACACTTTGGGCAAATTGGTGCATTCATTCCCAGTGGTGAAAAAAGAAATCAAAGTATCAATAACCGGCGGAATCTTGTTGTGTCCTAGAATTTACCAGGCAATCTACCTTACACTTCCATCTCCCATTATCATTTGAATCACTACCCGCGGTTCTTACTCCGTGGATATCCACACCAGAAGATGTGTGGAAAATGTCAGGTTGCTCAAGCTTAAGTGCATTTCTATTCCGGAAAACTAGATGCCTATTTTCAGTGCTGAGGTATGCATATGTTTCTCCTAAGTTGATGCAGTTTGGCAGCTTGAAAACAAAATTGGAGACGTTTCCTTCCCGCATCTGGCCTTTTCAAGCCATTTGCCCCTGGCATTTACGGGTTTTAGCACCCCCTGAAACTTGCTAGAGCAGTGTACTCTTCTAAGCCTGCTTTTCGTTGTGAATGGTCATACCATGCTCGATCTTCCATCTCCAACCGGCGTTAAATGGCCGCCAACCACAGAAATTTCTCATAACAGTTTCGCCCAAGATATAAAATACTTGTTTTCCTGGTCAAATTCCATCATGCATCCCAGAGATCTCATTCATCGGAATCCCTCACATTTTCGGTGTTAAATTTGGCAGCACTCCACGCTTTACGAGACTTGCAGCCTCTGCGCAGGAGCATCAGACTATATCCAAGAAACTCACCACATTTGTTGGCTATTTTGCTTACTACTCTCTGCACCAATTTTTTGTGGCAACCCACATACTCTTCCGCTACTGTTCTCGAGCCTAGAGATAGCAGCCTTGACAGTGTACTCAGTTCAATGTTTTCCTAGTGTTGACAGATGACTTCATAACAATGGACAAGAAGTACAGACAATTCTTTTCCAGATCTGTGAAACCTGTTTTGTATTGTATTATCTTGTTTTATCTCCCATCTGCCTTCTGAGGTGCATAGAGAGAGAATCACAGGACAACAGATGCTGATTGATAGTAATACTTCTGCAGTGTTGTACTTGTGCTACAGTGGAGCAATTGCTTTGTGACACTGATGTGAGACTTGAGTAAGTGGTCATCATGAAGCAGAGTTGCAGTAAGAAAATTAACAAAATGTTCTAGAAATAAAATCTTAGCTTTATTAAGTAAATAAAACTAAGAACTTGATGTTAAAAGTAATAATGAGTATTATATGAAAAATAATAATAATAATAATAATAATAATAATAATAATAATAATAATAATAATTTAAAGACAAAGATGAAGACTTACTCTGATATGAAGAAGACAATGTAAATGCAGAGAAATGAAGAGATATGATTAAGTTATAATGTTTTGATATCTAATGCATGAGTTTATATATCTCTGAATATTATATAGTCACTGATTATCTTAGACAATAACAACAAACATAGGTGTTGTTTAGTGTTTATGAGTCTATGAGATAGTTTGTAAGAAGAGAAGAAAGCTGATGTCTTCAGTAGAAGAAGAAAGACAACCTGCTTGTATATATAATGTGATAGAAAGATGAGAGGAGTCAGTTGAAAATGAGTGAAAAAAGAGAACATTTAGACAACAACTGAGAGCTTACAAGAGTGAAGATAATGCAGCTTATGTGTTACTTTCAATCAGATAATGAAAGCAGACAGTTAGTGAAACACTCATTATTATGCATGCACTTTACACAGTGGTCTTCTTTGTGCTGACTATCTTGATTGTACCTGATGCTTCAGCACTGGGATTTTACAGTAGTATGAGAAGATATTGATTCATTCATTGTGATAGTGACAGAAGTAGCAGTGGTAAGAGAAATCAAATCTACTGCTGAAGCGTTGAAAACCTGCAAAAATTATACATTAAATTCTTTTCAAAAAGAACCTTTGATAATATAGAACAAGAAAAAAATCGTATTTCATTGAACTTGGCTAGCGATCACTTTCGAGCTAGCATCGCATTCATGTTGAGCGGGCTTGAGAATCAGAAATCATAGGCAAAAGCCGTAGCAGATGAACGGGGCATCGTCGCGATATTTAGTTATTTAGCGTGAAAGTAAAACCACAGAAAAAAATCCCCTTGATAGAAAAGAGGATGTATTTTGGCGAGTCCACTGTAGTAGACTAGGCAAACTCGCTACCCAAATATCTGAAGGTAGATGATATGAGATTTGCCAGATGAAGATCATATCAGAACTCAAATGCCAGATATCTGATGGGGAACTGCATAACTGAAGAACTCAGCAGACAGGAGTACAATGCAGGATGGCATGATCCATGCCTCAGTGGCTCCGGCCCATTAAGGAAAATATATGACAAAATTGAACAATGAAAAAAGGCAGTAATAAGCAAGATACTTTTCTATTCTATCTTATCTGAGAACAGTAAATTATCTTGGTTCTTGTCGTGTTAATTGGAGGAGATCAAAACATAGAAATGAGAAGAATGGGGAAAGATGGGGCCAGAGGTCGAGACGAAAATGTAGAGACGAAAAAAATGAAAGGGAAAATTGATAACAGCATCAGTCCTGTGACAAAAAAGAAAAAAAATAAAAAAAGAAGAAAAAAAAAGTAAACTTAGCATTGTCAAGACATTTGATCACACACAGGAAAAATAAGAATCAGACAATGAGAACTAGAGAAGTAATAACTTCATCACATCAATATTTTGTACAGGTCATATGCTCCCATGAGAACTTGCTAGCTCCTGATAGCTCTCGGGCACTCAGCAGGCTTGGACAATGGCAGAAGAATAACGATCAAAAGGCTGGCCTCGAAACACACACGCAGAAAAATTGCGAATGTGACTTAGCGTAGGCTTGTGTTATCGCTATTACTGCAGTTAATCCAGTCTTGAGCAACTTGGGCAATTCTCAAGGCATTTTCCTTGGCGAGAGCGCAGGCGATTTCAGACTCCTTTGCAGCCTGTACAGCAGCCAACATGGCACGTTCAGCATCATTCGAGTGGTTAACAACCTCAACGAGAATTTTGCCAAGCTACATGTTTTCACCAAGTGGTTAGTTTTCCTTAAAATTGGGAGTTTAAGGGAGTTAAAAGACAAAGAGAGAAAAGAAGGAAAGAACAGTGGGTTGCTGAAGAACAAAGTGATGAAGGAGAAGACTGGTGTGGATCCGTACCTGGAGAAACTTCTCTTTTTTGGCGCCATTTGGTTCATCACGAGCTGAATTCAGTACATTCATACACAGAGCACTAACATTACTAATCCCAGAGAGCGCCGGTGAGTCCGCCATCTGCGAGGTGACCGTAAGGGCATCAGATGCTGGGCGGGACTGATCCACATTACTGTCACGAGAAGAGGTGCCCCGGTTGTCCTCGCCACGTTTGTCGGCACGGGAGATCCCCCGGGCACGACGGCTGAAAGAGCGCTCCATGGGGCTTCCGGTACTCAATTTCCCGCTATTCGCAGCTTTGACGCGCTCGAGATCCTTGCGCTTGGCAGTGGTTGAACTGGATGCACCTGCTCCTGAATTTGCACTTGCGGTGATCGAGTCGTTCTTCTGTTTCGTGAAGAGACCACGGAAGTTAGACAACACGCCACCAGCCCTTGTAGAAGACTCCTTAGCCTTGGGGTAGTCGAGGCTTGTCGAAGCGGAGCGGTGCTTTGCTGAGCTCTCTCGATGCTTCCTACGGGGAATCTCAAATGTATCCCTTTGTACTAACTCGGTAGAAGGGTTCGAGGTAGCTACATTGTTCAATTTCGATTTACCGTGGCTTCCATGTTCAGACATGCAATGGCGAGATGAACGATGAAGTAAACGCTGCGAAGCACTGCGGTGGCGGGAAGTAGAGGAAGCGTCACGTTCGCTGAAGGGTTCATTCTCTTTTTTATTGTGGAATTGGTCCGCAGAGGTATGGGAGTCCAGGGGGCTCGGGACTACATACTTCTGATGAGATCCAGGCTGGGAATATACGACATCATTGTCGTCGATGAGGGTTGTGCTCTCAGCAAGCGGGGACGATGGCAGCGCCTTGTAACCCTGGCTGGTCGCATCTGCTTCTGAATAACGGGGTGGGTCCGGGCTGCTACTATTCAAGAATGGGTATCTCTCGTTGAACATTCCAGGTAATGGCACGCGTCCTGCAATCCCATCATCGTAGAAAGGATTTGTGCCGAACTTCTTCATGTGTTCGTTCTTTGGCATCTTGGCGTAGGTAGCGTCTGTGCTTCTAGCCTTCTTGAGTTTCTTGTCTCTTGCAACTGCTACCTTGCCCTCCATAGGTGAAGAAGTGGAAGGATTCAAGGAGCTGTTAGACTGCGAATGCATGAGATACTTGGGGGTGAAGCTGCCAAAAATACTATCCCCCGAGAGTCTCTTCGAGCTTGAGTGGCGGTTGGCGCGATTTCTAGTAGATTTTTGGGACGAGTCTTCAAGTGCGTCAGTCATATTCCCCATAATAACTTTGTCTGCCTCTGGGGAGATGCGGAGCTGAGGGCCAGAACGACCTGCTGCAGCCAACTCTTTTGATCTGTACCCCTCGGGCAGGCTCGTTGGAGGGGTAGAATCATTCCCATGCAGTCCCATGTGGCCTGTGTCGTTGGGATCAATACTATCAATAGTTTTCTGAGACCCCAATTCTTTTTGTCCTCCAGGAGTTTCGTCTTCGTAGATTGTACTGGTGTAAGCGGAACTAGAGTTGCGAGTAGTTTTTAATGGAGGACTAGCATGTAGCGCGCTAACATCAACCTTGTCCCGTCCATGTACCATCCGACTTGGGATAGGGATAGAACTGCGTCGGCGGGGAGATGCAATTTTCTTCAATCTGTTAACTTCACCAGTAGAAGGAGGAGTCAATACCTTTGGCGAGGCACGGGGAATTTTCGACGCTGCATTTTCGTTGCGAGGAGTGGTGTAACTATTCGACACTTCCTTGTCATCCATCATATGAGCACCTGCCTGTTTCTGATTATTGGTGGGCCCGGGATTCTGGCAATCGGTGCTGAATTCGAAAGAAAATTCCCGTAAGTCACTCTGCGGCTGCTGTTGTGAAGAATGTTGGGGCGACGAGACAGTTCGATAACGGTTCCGAAATGGATTGGGTTTAAAGGTGGTATTATCATTGTTCCCCACAGCTTGGTTTACGCGGTTCGATTCACTGTTTACCTCCAGTGGTTGTGTTACTGCCTTATTGTTTCCTGACGGGATCATGTTTGGTAAAAGTTCTGAATGCTCGTTTTGAGACGCCATCTCCACTGGATCATTTGGCTCCACTGCTTGATAAATAGTATCGAGATGAGAATTGTTGGCAGCCCAGTTTGACGCGATTCGCAGACGACTATGCCGTAGAGTAGTACCCCTTGGGGGAGTCGATGGCTTTGATGGCGGCAGAGGGGGAGGAACTTCCGTTGGTGTCGAAGGTGCTACACCATCGTTGGGTTGTGAGGAAGGCTGTTGAGATTCCTTTCTCTCTTCAACGCGACAATAATTGGACTCCCACGAGTGAGGTGGTTTCCATGGGGATAAAACCGGCCACCTCTCTGACGCTTCAGGTCTTCCCACTTTATTTTGACGAACAGGAGTGTCTTCTGCCCCAATGGTACTCTTCGAACTACGTGGACGCTCCTCTTCGATGTCTGGGATATCTAGAACTTTTGGCCCTGGAGTGCTTGGAAGAGGTTTTTCAATAAGGGGGTCATTGTTGCCAGTCGAGGCAGCACGCGTCTTCGCGCCCGCGTGCAGACTCGACTTTCTCTTCTAAATAACTGTTAGAAATTAAGAAGAGAAAACAAATCTGGCAAAATAAGAAAAGAATAGTAAAAGTAAAAACAACACAGACATCGAAATTTTGAAGACATACCGGAGGGGTAGCAAATGCCTGTGCTGGAACTGGACGAGAAATTTTGGGCGATAGATCAGCTCTTTTTACAACACGGCGAAGCTGTTTTTCCAAATCAACGAACGTTAACATATGTTTCGTAATCTTCATAAACCGTTTTTACACCGAAAAGATAACTATTCAACACTCGAAACACGGACATACCTTTCTAGACTGAATCTGCTTTGCATCACTCTTGCTTGACGGACGAAACGCATTCGCCGCAGCTAAAGCCCAGCGTTTCGACAACGGTAGATCCTCGATTGCCGCGTTCTTAGAGCGCCCACCCTTCTGCTTCTTTTTGTTATTCTTCTTCCTATTGTTGCGTTTCTTAGGTGGCTTTCTAGTCATCTTGATGTAGGATTCCGGTACTGCCGTTGCAAACCTCATAGAGCCAGCGCGTTGGGCCAGCGCTGAGCTACTTGAAGCTCTAGCTCGAAGTTCAGGGCGAAAGAACTGCCGTGGAGGAGACTCATATCGTCTTCGCAGCCCAAGGCTGTCGAGGGAGCGTTTTGCAAGGGGGAAGTGTGATGGTGTCACCATGGTTTGTCTTGCTGGTGTTTGAGTTTTCACACTTTACAGACGTGATAAACAGTTGGGATGACGATTATTAGGAGAAGGTTACAAAAGAAGGAGAATATGGGGAAAATAAGAACAAGAAGAAACAGAAGAAGAGGAGAAGAAGAAGGAGAAATTGTGTGAAAATTTGTATGATGTGAGTCTTCAGAGAGACTCAGTTTAAGAGCATTGTCTCATGAAGCATGACTAAACCAAATGAGAAAGTTGTGATGTTATAGGAGTATCTGATGTGAACACTCATAGAGTGTGGAGAGAAACTATGTCAGAGCTCTGAGAAACATTCTCCCTACAAAACATAAAGAGAAATTAAAAAGGTTAAGATATATGTAGTTAAGAAAAGATTAACAAAAATGTTAAGAAATAGTAAGATGGTAATAACTAGAAAATATCTTTCTCTATCAATGCTCAAAACATTGCAGTTCAACAGCTCATCAAACAGCATCCATAACAAACAAGAACCAAGGGAATGTTATTAATGGCCTTTGTTGAATATCCAGGAAATATATATGGTCACAATGTCAAGTCTAGCAACCTTGCAGTGGTATGGGCGCTGATATAATGACAATGGCAAGATAGAATGCATGTCAAACCAATGTAGACAACATGAATATGATCCCCCTCAGCGCTAGGAGTTGGGGTCAAGCTTCTAGGCTAGTGGTAACTGAGGGCACTGTCATTAAAGATGGGGGATAAGGACATGAAGCATCATTTATACTAGACTTCAATGGCAATATAGAAGGGAATTTTTGGGAATGCCGGTTCAACGGTGGACGAAATCCAGTAACAGGAGATCGGAACGTAGTTGAAGAGTAAACATATAGCCGTATGTTTTTGTGTCCATGCTATGTGCAATATTTATCTTTCCGCAAGAATGGCACGTAAAATAGCCCAAAAAATGGGTATGTTCTTATAGTATGGCATGGAGAACCATCTTGTGAATGAGTGTAGTGGCAGAGCAGGCGATAATGAAGTTCATTATCAGGAGCAGCAGTATATAGAACAGAACAGGTACCTGTAACGTCCAAGGATTGCCCCAAGGAAGATAGGACGGGTGTCCCAAAGCCAACGAAGCCAACCACCTAAAAGTTAAACAATCAAAAGCAGGAATGTCTCCACCTCATGCAATGAGTTTCATCGCCCCGTCCCATTCATTAATTCACTCACTCACTCACCACCATCCACCTCAGGAGTTTTCCTTTTGGACGCTCGTGATGGCGTGTAGACGTCAGAAGCAGAGCCAGAGCCAGGGGTAAGGTCTTCCACGACGGGACCTAAACCATCATCATGCCACTCGCTCACCTCCCATTCCACTCTCGTCGATCGATCCGCACTGATACCCACCCCGCGTCTTCTCCTCCCAACCCTGCCTAGCCGGCTCCCTTGCATCATTTCCTCAAACCATGGAATGCCATTGACGATACCAAACCGATGCTTGACCGACACTCGTGGTTCTATGAATCTCGGGCCCAGTTGGGTGGACGCAGATGTAACAGCGGAGGGAACCGGTGGACCAGTAGAGGTGGTGGGAGTGGCGCGGCCGCTGGCAACTTCCACATCCGTATCAACATCTGAAGGCAGAAGATCCAAATCCTCTAGCGCGCCCTGGTCCTCGCTGAACAAACTGCCTATGGTCACCGAGATAAACTCAGCTTCCTCGGGCGGGTTTTCGCTCCAGTATGACATAGGGGTGCCGCAGAAGCCACAGAAATTGCGCTGGGAATGCGGTGCGTTAGGCGGGATAAAGGTGCGGCGGATAGCGCTGTGTGTTTCATCTGGGAAATAGGATGTTGTGGTCGACTGGTACCAATCCAGGGGTACGCGGAGCCATGCCGTTAATGGGGCTGCTTGGTTTCTCCCTGGTAATAAATCCCCACATGCAGTCGTCGGTTAGTGTGCTTATGTCGGGATCTTGTTGCGATCCTTTGTTCGGAACAGGGAGGGTTAATGGGATTTAACATACGGCGGTCACTGCTTGTATCAAAATAGACCTCAGCGTGCGTGACGGCGTTGCGAGGGATAAGAATGGCATATTGAATGCGGCCGCAGGAGCAGGATCCCCGAAGTGTCCGGTCCCGATCCATGTTGGATAGTGTTAGTACGATATCCTCTATCGGGAGGAAGCCTGTTCCAGAGAAGCAAGAAGAAAAGTCTCGGGATATAGGGAGTCGATGTCAAAGACGGCGTGGAGGACAACAGTAATGTGTGTTAACTCAGCCCCCAGAACAGTGTGATATTCCAAGAGCGAATTCTTAGGGTTTAAAAGACAGCAAATATGAAGAAGTTGGCCATCTTCCATCTGCATCTCCATGTCTTGCAGCAAATTGTGCAATAGTCCCATGGTTGCGCGGGTGCGAGTTGGAGTGATCTACGTCAACATCGGCTGTCGACCATGATTCGGGGCTGGAACTGAGAGAGCCGCAGCAGAAGAGGCTAAAAACCCTATTTCACTAGCGTCGTCTTTTTAAAGGAGCGGCTTTGCCCCGCATCTCGAATCCCCGTTCCCTTTCCCTGCAACTTGTTGGCGCATCCGAGGAAAGATACCGAGAGCATCAAGTAAGATATTGTTTATATTCGCCGACTTCTACATGCCACCAGCACGGAGGAAATAGCTAACTGTACACGCATCCATGGAGGACTATTTAACTCGACCTAACAACTCTAAGCGCAATCTAGCCATCATTCCCTTATCGTGCCTGTCTTGCTTGCCTTGATATTTCAATCCTTGTCCGCTCATTCTCGTCACTCATCCCTCCAATCCACCCAATCCCGCCATTCATTGATGGTAGCATTCGCATGGATATCCAATCCTCAGCTAAATATACTCACATTTTAAACCTATTTAAACCCCCCTCCAATCCCTCCCCCACGACAATCAGGTTATGCTCTCAGCTCTCCGTGGCCAGGCGTCCTCGTCGTCTTCGTCCGCCTCTCCCTCCCCATCTCCCATCTCCCCCTCAGCATCTATGTCTCCCTCCAATCCTTCCCTCTCCCCTTCCGACCACTCCAACTTCACAGTCATCCAGACACCAGCCACGGGAGCCCGGAACCAAGGCCCTGCCTCCGTGTCTATGACATCGTCCGCATCGCCTCAGCCAAACTCCCGCCTAACCTCACGGACTACAGACAAAGAAAAACCACGCCTTACAGAGCAGGAAAAGAAGAATAACCACATCGCGTCTGAGCAGAAGCGGCGCGCCGCCATTCGTGAAGGGTTCGACAGGCTGACTGAACTTGTTCCGGGGCTCGAGGGCCAGGGCCGCAGTGAGGGCGTGGTCCTGCGCAAGACTGTGGACTTCATGCAGATGAAGTTGCAGGAGCGGAAAGAGCTGGTGGAGGAAATTGAGAAGAGAGGCGGTTCTCCTGAAGATGCTCTGCGACGATAGAATATCGGAACGAACAGGATCGAACGCTTTGATACCTGCTCTCCATACTACCTACGTGTTTTTTTTTTTTTTTTTTAACTTTCTATGTTACTTTCCCCGCCACGAACGACTTTTTCCTCGCCTCAGATATTGGCGCGATGTATAGCCAGCCATTGTTCCGGGATGGAGGCTGGGAATCGGGGAGTTGTAGGAGCGGACCGTTTTTCGGACTGGGACATATTTTTACTGGCGCATGAGAACATGATGACCTCGGGATAAGCATATCCATACGCAAAAATAGAGAGGGGGGAAAAGCACAGGAGAAACCGAGCTGTTTCGCCAAGTTTCAACAATTTTTCCCATCATGTCCGAGACAGACTAGAAAATGAATGGGTGTCCCGATTCATCCCAACTTGGTCTATATATTTAGACGGGGAGCGCACACCATTCTAGCAATCGAGAAGATCGGCCAGGGAATGATACTCCACGATTCAGGGGCAGGTTAGGATGGAATCACCTGGCCCAAGAGCGGGGTGGGTGAGGGTCTACTAAAACGATTCGAAGGCATTTGTTCTATTTTCTCGCGTGAGAGAGAAGGTGGTCGTCGTTTTTTCTCCCTTTTCGCTGTTTGGGCTCGCGCATGGAGTTTTTGTATTATCACACGTTTTCTCTTTTTCGTTCGTTGTGGTTCTTGCGCATGCTTGTAACTATATAGTATTTACTTGCCCTTTGTTCATTTTGGTTCTAGTAACCCTACATACCCCAGAATCCGCTATTCGTAGTGCATGGATTCTTGTTTTGCTTTTCGTCTCAGACATTGATTCTATATATATACTCCTCAGTTCTATATAAATATATAAATATATTTTCTCTCCCCTAATTATGAATTTAATTTGGTCCCTAGATCATTCTTTTGACACCATCCTACCAGGTTCCCGTTGACATCAATGCACTGTAGATATTTTTAAAACGTTTTAAGATAAACACTTTTGTGCAAAGCAACCTTGTTTTTGACAGGGGATGCTCTTGCCAATCAATCCTCGTCGTATTTTTGCTGCTAAAGAATTGTTTCCGCCCTTTATCACACAAGGCCAAACACCTCAACTTGGAACATCTGCTCACAAACAATTGGTAACCAGATATCAATTAGAGAATATAAACGGGAAAAACCTCCGAGAAGAAAATCCACTCTCTCCCCATCCGCCCTTCCTTGGTTATCTGGCCAAACATCCACACCGTTCCATCACCTCCCCCCACCCCACCACCCCACCACCCGCAGATCACCCCGCAAAGCGGTCCAACACCCATCGATTCAGCCGGAAAAAAAAAAAAAAACGAACAGAAGGATACTCCCAGGTTTTCTTCTTTTAAAATATAAAAAAATGACCGACTCCACATCTGAAAGACAACCCTCAGGCCCACCGCCCTCATACTCCGACGCCAGCGCCGGTGCAGGCAAAGGCAGTGGACGCACCCCGCTGACTCTCCCACGACCCCCCGCCCTCGCCCTCCCAACCCTAATCGACCTGCGATCCAAACGCGTAATCCTAGCCTCCAGCTCCCCCCGCCGCCGCCAAATCCTCTCCTACCTTGGCCTGCCCAACGTCGAAATAATCCCCTCCAGCTTTGCCGAAGACCTGCCCAAAGCCACCCTCTCCCCGCTCGAATACTGCCTAGAAACAGCAATCAGGAAGGCGCAGGCGGTCTACAGACAGGAAATCGACAATGAGGAAAAGGGCGAGCCGGCCCTGATCCTCGCCGCGGACACCATCGTCGTCGACCCCACAGCTTCCGGCGGCGCGCAGATCTTGGAAAAACCACGCTCCGAGGCCCAGCATATAGCCATGCTGAAGTCGCTACGCGACGCGGGCGACCACACGGTCTACACGGCCATGACGGCGATGGTGCCGTTGAAGAGCGCGCGCGATCCCGGGTATGCGCTGGAGTCGACTGTGGAGGCGTCGGTTGTGCGGTTCGATCCGACGATTACGGATGAGTTGATCTTGGCGTATGTGCGGACGCGGGAAGGGGTGGATAAGGCGGGTGGGTATGGGATGCAGGGGCTCGGGTCGATTCTGGTGGAGAGGATTGAAGGGAGTTATGATAATGTGATTGGGTTGCCGTTGCGGGCTACGTTGAAGTTGATTGAGAAGGTTGTGGCGGTTGCGGATGATGAGGAGCTGCTTGGTGGGGAGGCGGAGGAGATGGGGCAGGAGGAGGAGTTGGAGTAAGTGGGTACTTGTTAGAAGGTGATGCCTTATAGTTATTTATTTTATGTCCCTTTCAATTGTACGTGGTATGCCTCGTTTGATACTAGCGGAGCAATGGCGCTTGGGGTATGTATGGATGGGGTTATTTTATTTTAGTTCCATTCGGCAAGATCGTACGCTTAGCAATATGGATAGGGTACAGACAGATAGTGTTGGGGGTCCCGGGTTGATCGGCCCTTCTACCAGCAGTGCGCTGGTGGTGACTGAGCTCTTTTGCCCCAGTAGCCTACAGGTTATGAGCCCGGCCGGCCAACAGATAGACATGATATTTTGACGTCCTTATATAGAGACAGAAATAAAGGAATTTTTACAGTATCAGAGTGAGGCTGGAATCTAGGGGAAGAAATAATGTACGTGAAATGAAAAGATGCGGGAAGGAGAAAAGAGAAAAGGGGCAGTAGAAGGGCTGACTTGGAAAGCTTGAGAAGACATCATCAAAAACAATACCCCTAAAATCAAAAAAGGAACAAATCAATATATCGAAAAGGACAAACGAAAAGACTAAATAAGAGAAAACAGATCACGCTTTCCAGATTCGCTTGATGGCTTCAGTCACGCCAACATCATTCGTCTCGAACTCATACAACCCAACTGCAACTGTCAGGGTCATTACGCGAAGAAGCCAGTCGAACGCCTTCTTGGCTTTGGGAAAACGTCTCCCGGGGATATAATCGATGATGCAAGACCTGTATTCCAATGAAGAAAAAAACATCATTACGTTAGAATTGAAAATGGTTTTTTTGAATCCGAACCTAGACACGGGCGAAGATACTACGTACTGGAAACCAATGTGTGAATGCATCAAGATGGTACCGCAAAACACTGCATCCATGACCGGGTTAAGAGATCCACCAGCAAAGGGGGCAATCGTCAACGGGATAAGGGCGACAGCGATAGCTCTATTGAAACGTTCAAATTAGCCAGATGGCCGGCTTTTGGTCGAATATTTCCATCACATCATGCCATTGACTATCCTATTTTCAATTCCTCTTTTCGGGGAAAAAAGCGCACCTTTCAAAAGTCCAGTGGTAGCTGCCGTGGGAAGGAGAAGTAGGAGGAAGGGGAGCGGGATCGTTCACTAAATGAGTACCATGGCAATCAGTATACAGGGCAAGGATTTTGTGACGCCCGTGGGAAACGATTCGTCGTTGGTTGCTAAGGTAGTGATATATATTTTTTGTGGAATTGTGGTATCACTCGTCTGAAACCGCAACCGCAACCGTGGGCATCCGGGCAAGGTAAATCGAATGAGGACAAATAACGTACTTGTTCCCTGAATAGTTTCTACAATTGGACAAATATCACAATCAAATTAGCCGACTATCATCAATCAACCCAGTTTAACACACGATCTATCCAGCCATTCTTCTTTCAACCACCTCCCGCAACCCATCGAAGAAGAAAGAAGCAGGAGCTTGGATCACTCACGAGGTGGGGGTGGCAGGAGATCCCTCCGGCTGGTCGCATGGAAGCCAGCAACATTAACTGCAACATCCCTTTGTTTCGTCTGGAAGAGACCAGGTTTCAGTGTCGAGGCGATTGCCAGAGGAGAAGTAGTCGAGGAGGCCGCCCGAGATGTGGAATAGAAAGCAGCATTTCGCGCGGGATTGGAGAGGGCAAGACAACTTCTTCTCAGCAGAAAGGCTGAGGGGCGCACGATCGATGTCATTGCGGATATCCTGGCCTTTAAAAAGGTCTTCTCTGTCCTCTGCAATTGACTGGGCAAATTGGGATGCGTTCTGGGTTCAGAAGCGAGGGATCAGGTATCTATTGGATGGGTTGAGGTTGTTCTCGGGATTGGATTTCCTCGGGTCGGTTAGCTGGATCAGTCAGCGGAATGGGCGGTATGTGATTGGTCGGCAGCTGGGCTTCGGAGCCAAGATAATCCGGGATTGGAGGCGACAAAAGAGGCTTAGCGCTGGGAGGCTACAAGTAAGATATGATCAAGGGCAGAACTAAGCTGAGCCGAGTTACTTACATACGTATTACCAAGTCAACGGGGAGTTGGAGAGAGAGAGGTTGTTTTGTGGATTGATATGGGTGGGAAGAGGCGGAAATGACAGAATTTAAGTGGGTTTCTCATCCCTATTGCCCGAAAGAAATTCCGAATTTGCTAGTAACTATGGCTTTGTCTACCCTCTCATGAGTCATGAGCAGCTCTACTCCATAAACAACGCCCATTATTTGGACAATGCTTGTACAGTACTATACATTTGGTTGATATGCAACGAATGAGAATCATTATTAATTAAGCCAACTAGTTATGATGCTTTAAGTTAAGATCTTCAAAATGGATTTTCATCCTGCATGCAGCCAACCACGCCGGTCATTTTTCGCCAGCTGGGAGCAATAAAATAACATTACTCTGAAACAATGCCTCCGATTGACAATCATCTACTTAAATCTTGGCTTCCGAAAAGGTCTAATGATCACTATCAAAAAGAGCAGGTTAGATATTGACAATCCATGAAATCCAGGTATTGCTAGAAATGGGAACACGAGCGCTGAACACAAAAGAGAATAAGGATCTCAACAAACCTTCTGGAACTTCAAGACGGCCTTTCCAAAGTTCTCCCCACGGAAGATGCCCGCCAGGCCCGCCGCTGCGTTATCAATGCCCACCGTCTCGGCAATGACGGGCTTGAACGAGCCCTCCTTAATCCACCGCGAGACTGTCTCCATATGCTCCTTCGCCCACTTATCACCCATCCCTTTATCTCCAACAATAAACCCACGCATAGTAATCCTCTTCGAAACAACCATAAAGATATTCTTAACCCCGTACCTGTCCTGTGGCTTCAGGTTGTACTGCGAAATCATGCCACAGGCAACAATACGGCCGAAATCCTTCATCGCATCGATCGCTGCCTCGAGATGCTCCCCGCCCACGTTCTCGTAGTAAATATCGATCCCCTCCGGCGCAAGTCGCGCCAGAGCATCGCACGGCTTCTCCTTCTTGTAGTTGAAGCCACCGTCAAAGCCCAGTTCCTTCAGGATATAATCCAACTTGGCATCTGAGCCAACGCTGCCAATCACCTTCAGACCCAGGTGCTTCGCCAACTGGCCCACGACCTGTCCCACCGCACCCGACGCGGCGGAGATGAAGATCGTCTCGCCCTTGACCGGCTTGCCGATTTCCATGAGAGATGAGTACGCCGTCAGTCCGGGCATCCCGAGCGGGCCTAGGAAGACGCGGATATCCTCGAGGCCTAGGGGGTTGTCGAGCGGCTGTACGGTTGCCAGGGCCGCGGGGGGCAGGGCGACGTATTCCTGTACGGGCAGGAAACCGACGACGAGGTCGCCTGGCTTGTACTTGCTGTCGTTGGACGCGAGAACCTTAGCGATGGAGCGGCTGTATATAGGCTTTCCTAAGTCGAAGGCTGGAGAGTATGATTTGGTGCCAGGATCACGCATACGGCCACGCATGTAAGGGTCGAAACTGGTGTAGAGAGATTGAACGGTGATGCCATTTTCTGGGGCGGGGGCGGAGGGGTCGGTTGTGACCGTTTGGATGGTTAGGTGCTCGCCCGGCACAGGGTATTCGGTTGGGACTTTGGAGAAGCAGAGGGCTTTGTTTTGGGGAGCCATGTTGTATGCTTTTGTTTGTGTTTGGTGGGGAATTATGAATGTGAGAGCGTTGTGTTCCTAAGTACTAGAGGAGCTATCTGTGGTAGATGGAAAGCGATTTTTAGGTGGGATGAAGAGGGGTATTTATGTGAAGAGTCTGAACTCAATTGATGGGAGATTTGGTTCCTTTTATACTTGGAATTTTGCAAAATATGTTTTCCACACGTACATGGGTGGGTAAGTCCTCAGAAAAGACCAATATTTTAACTGTACCAACAACAGAGATAAAAGGTTCGTTGTCTCTCTTTTTTACCTTCTCAGCTTAGGTTTATCTTGGAAAATGGCAACATGAGAACATAAATTATTTGACTTACAAATCAACAATATATATCTCTATGCCATGCTCTCCAAATGGCCACCCGTGGATTGCCAAAGAACTCGATGACATCAGGATGTGTTGCTGCTCAACCCACATATCCCGCTTCTGCAGCAGTGTTGCCTCGGCCTATCTCCCAGAAGTTTGAGTTGTGGCGGTGGGTTTGCCGTGCCCACTCGCACGAAACCACTCATACGCAAAAAATATCCTCGTAACCCCTTGTCGTCGTGCTGATGAAGGTTGTGTATATATTATTATCTTACAGCGCGTTGCGGCTCAGTTTAATAATCAATGGCTGGGTTAAGTTGATCTTGTAGTACTGGAAGGATAACTTGCAGCAGAATAGCGGAGTCCGAAAGTTAAATGCAAATATTTTAACTCCGGGCCGAATGTTTTTTTTTCCTGATTGGGAAATTCAGTAGCAACTTATAGCAACTTATCGTAGGCTCGTAGGTAGTCGGCTAGATAATTTGTCCGCCATAGTCATTTTTGATTTTAATACAGAAGTAGCCTACGCTACGCACGAAGTCAGTGACGACGGTAAATCCGGCCCTAAATGTGTTACTTAAAATATCAGTTGTGACCGGCGTCCGTTGCTCATTAGGACCAAATATGGGAGGGGCTACGGGAAATGGAGGCCTTGATGCTGTTAAATTCACGGTGTTTCTTACACAGATTGATGTATCCTACGCCAGTAAGCATTTTCGGCCGGAAAATAATTGAACATGTGTGAGATTGAACAAAGGAAACAGGTCTTTTGAGTATATCAGTGGATAGGTATGTCCATACTGTACAATGAAAACACGACAACATCTCTCTCATCCATCTTTCCCCACCCTTCCACCCCTTAAGTCTATCTAAAAATCATCAAACACACAGCAGCAACAGGCAGAAAAGTAAAGGAATATCAATAATAAACAGCATCCAGAATGACAACGGGATTAGTGTGTGGGTAGTGTTTGAGCGCTGGAATTGCGGAGAGCAGCTGTTCTTCGGGCCTTCCTTCTCTCATTTGTTCTTCTTTTGCTTATTTTTACAACTATGAAACGTTCCGGCTCATGTCTGCTCTGATACGTTGATAATCGAGCATACCCTCAATGCTACCAACAGCACTGATGGCAATGTCTTTATCCCACAGTTTCCGCTGGGCAAAGCTCATGACATCCTTCTCGGTGATTCCGGAGATGGCACGCTCAACGTCCTCCGGGCTAAGGCGGCGGCCGCTGGTGACGATCTGGCGGCCGATATCTTCGGCGATGGCAGTGGTGCCGTCGAGAGAAAGGAGGATGGATGCCCTCAATTGGGCTTTGGCGCGCTCGACTTCAGCTTCAGTCACGCTGAATGACAAGCGAGACCATTCGCGGAGGGCGAAGTGGACGAGATCATCGAGTTGGGTGAGGTTCTCAGAGACGAGGTAGATACCCCACAGGCTAGAGTGGGAGGAATATTAGTGGCATGGTAAACGCAATGATAAACAGAGAGCAGAATTGGCTGAAACTTACCCAGTATCACTGTAGCTGGTGGAGAAGCTCATGAAGCTGTTGGCCAGGTTATGATGGCCGACAAAGTGGCTGAGCTTGCTGCCAAGGTACGGGGAGTTACCCATGGCACGGTCCCAGTTACCAACGATAGCCTGAGTGATAAGAGCGGTGAAGTAATCGTCGTCCTTCCAGCTAACTCCCTCAACAGCCAGGGCAATGTTGGCAGTAGGGATAGTGTCATCACGGAGGCGAACTTCGGAACCGATGAAGTCGGGGGTGCGCTTCTGCTCAGCGGCGATGGCAGAAGCAGCAGAGCTAGGGGGTTGGCTAGGGAGGGAGCCAAACTGTTGCTCAGCCAGCTTTACGAGTTGGTCGTGGGGAATGCCACCAGCACCGACAAGGACCATGCGGTCAGCCGTGTAGTTGGTTTTGATATAATCCACCAAGTTCTCCCGCTTGATGGTTTGGATGTTTTCCTTGGGGCCGAGGATAGTTCGTCCCAGTGGCTGGTTCTGGAAAGCGGTCGCATGCAGATGGTCAAATACAACCTCTTCAAGTTGTTTATCAACCTCCTCTTGCTCCCGAAGGATGACATCCCGTTCCCTCTCAATTGCAGCAGGCTCTAGTTTTGAGTTTTGGAGGATATCAGAGAGGATATCGACGGTCTTGGGAACGTCGGCGTTGAAGGATTTAGCGTAGTATACAGTGTTTTCTCGCTGTAAGTGAAACAATAGAGCCATCAATTTATGTTGCTTCGTTTATTGAAGTGTTTGATGATTAAATGACGCCACGTACCGAGGTGTAGGCATTGAGATGTGCACCCATGTTTTCAATTTCAAGTTCCAATTGATGTTGCGATCGCTTGTTGGTGCCCTATAAACCGATCAGCGACAAGTTCACAGGAGAGAAGGTGATCGTTAAACCCGGCGGCATGACCGACCTTGAAGGCAAGATGCTCGAGGAAATGTGCGGTTCCATTGGTCGCATCGGTTTCTGCCCTGCTTCCCGCATCAATCCACACGCCAACGGTCGACGTCTGGGCCCATGGCGAGTACTCAGTGGCAATCTACACAGGTTAGCATCGATTTATCTCCATTGAGTCAATTCCAATGCCTCACCGTTAAGCCATTTGAGAGGGTTGTCGATTGGGTTGTGGCGGGAAGAGTGACAGGAGTTGCGAAGCCTCTTTTTACGGGTTGAACGGCTTTCAGGGCTGCGCGGCTACGCAGAGCCTGGTTAAAGTGCAAAGCCAGTCGCCGGGATGCCATGGTAGAGGAAGTAGAAGGAGAATAGAGAGCGGTGCGGGACTAGGGAGCGTGGACAATGTATAGGATATTCAGCCTAGAGAGTTGAACGAAGTTGATGTTCGGAAAGTCAAATTATGCAGAGCTTCCGAAGTCACATGACCGCTTGATGACCCGTGATCTGGCTCGCTTCTCATTCGCTCGTTGTCGTCCCGTCCCGACATTCCCTATCCTCTCCTCAGTCTTTGTTTGTTAAAGATACGGAAGTCTATTAGGCGGCCTACTAGCAGCGGTGATCGAATTTTATTAATGGTGACAATTAGGGGTTGGCTGCTTAAATAGGCAAATCTAAAAACCCAGCAGCTGACACAATCGCCGCTGTACGGGCATGCCAAATGTCCTGTGGCAAATGATGGATCCCTTTGGCATAATATTTTTGATTGATTAGCTGGGAGTTGCCGAAACCTCATTTGGATTCTTCCCTTAAAGGCGTATGCTAGCGTTACAGTGGTCAAAGTAGCTGAGTCTTTGTTTGCGGAGCTACGCATGTTCCGCCTGTCCTCTTCCACCTGGAAGAACGAAGTCGAAACACCATTGTTGTTTAACAGCTGATTGAAACCGATATGAAGCTATGTCATTGCTACCGCCTGGCCCTGTGTTCAAGATTGAAGAGGAGGATTCCAAGCTCACGCCGATAATATCTGCATTCTGGTCCATTTGGCAACAACGCAATTGGTATTCCCATTCCGTCTGGTGAATAATATTTCCCCCAAGCCGGCCTTTGGAATATCTCATCTTGTCGTTGGGGTTTCCTTCATTAGAGACGACGGTGTGGAGCCGTTTCTTACCTTTCCTGGCTTTACCCATATGAAAGAACAAATGCAAAATGTTTACTCTGCAACTGCCGAAGCTTATATGGGGAAATCGACGGTAAGATGCTCAAATGACCGAGAATATATAGCTGATTATCACTTACCCAACAACAAAACTCCCATTCGTGTCTTCCTACTCAATGATCTTCGAAATGAACGCCAGCAAAAAGAGCTTTGCGTTTTGGAGCCGATCCCCGAAGCGGTGGGCAAAAGCTACCGCCCTCTACTCAACGATAAAGGCAGAGCGTTGGGGAATGGTAAACTTCTTTTGAAAGCCAAGACATAAGGAAGAGTTGACGACCACTTCATGCTATACAAGGCGGCAGCGGAGGGTCGCAGCGAACTTGCCCGAATACTACTGGATAATGGCCGTATCGACCTCAGGGACCCGTCTCACCTTGGCATCAAATCCTTGAACATCGCGCTTTGGCAATATCAGGAGGAGACAGCCATCATGATCGCGGATAAGTACCGAAAAGAAGGCCTCAAGATTGAGAAGGGTTTGAAAGCTCTTCTAATGGCCGCAAGATTTGGGTTACCCGACTTAGTCGAGTCGCTCATGAAGGCTGGTACTTTTCATTCGTAGAACCAGCAAGTTCAAGGCTCTGTCTGGCATGGGACCCTGTGCAACTCGGCCAACGATCTCATCATTTTGGTCCCAAGCCAAGGGCTGGATGGTTCTCCGAGCAGAATCAAGAGGATCCAAATGGTAATTAGTCGGCCACCTGCCACTGGTGTAGTGTCTGTGGGACATTGAGAGCGCGAGCGCCATGCACGATGGAAAAATTTTCATTTTGAACCGGGTAGTTGGCGAGTTCTGATAGACGTTTTCGGTGGTGCAAACTTGTATATCTTATGTCCTTGTTACCGCGATGCATCTGACAACTGCCCGCAACGAATATGCTTCGTTGCCATAGGGGCCCGTTTTCCATTAATGTCGTCCGCTGAGGACCCTGAATTAAAACAAATAATACTGAGAGAAGTACGGGCTTTATTGCGAGTGGTTCTGGTTTACCATTTCTTTACATCTACTCATTATTCTTGTCTGTGAACGTATGGACCGTGGACCGTACTAATTAATTATTATTTGAGATACATATGTACTGTTTCTTATTTTTGCTTTAGCTTCGAACTCACCTACTCCGTCCTATCTAAGTAATACAACTGGAAAATAGAACGATCTACGCCTTTTAGTTAGAAACCACTCCTATAGTATTTAGGGATCCAACTCCCGCTCACACTCCATATCCCCTAACAAACACCTCTGTTTTTAGTCCTTTTCTACGATTCTCACACAGTGACCGACTTGGGCGGCATACGTGCTTCATCATCCACCATATACTACACCCTTTGCTGACCTGTAGACTGTAAAGCACCACTTTTGAAGTATTAGGTTCATTTTATAGCAGCTGTATTCGAGCATTAGTGTTGTAGAAGCTAACTTATCTTCCTAACTCTGTATTCCAGTCCCTCCTGAGAACCCTTCTGGAGAAAGAAACATATTAAAATATCTCTGTACTGATATCTTTACCATACTCCCTCATATACCTCCGCACACTAGCCAACAACGACATATCCTCATGAAAGCCCAACGATTTCGCCCACGCAATATCAAAATTCACCGACCACCCCTGCACAATCCGATCAACATCTTCATCATACCTCTCCTCCACCAGCGCCCTCTTCTCCCTGCCACCAACCTCCTCCAAAACATCCAACATCTCCTGAACAGACACCTTAATCCCGGGCAAATTCACCGACCGCGAATCCCCAAACGCCTCCTTCGGCACATCCTTCGCATGTATTAGATTCCTCACAGCCGTATACGGCGAGCAGATCCACAGCTCCGTCTCCTTCTTGACAGGTAACATGCTCTTTGTCCCATTCAGCGGCTCGCGCAAAATGCCACTGGCAAAGCTACTGGCCGCCTGCGTCGGCACCCTCGCCCGCACCGTCACAGTCGGCAGCCTAACCACCCGCCCATCTAAGTACCCACGCCGCGAGTAATCGTTCAGCATCAGCTCAATGACCATCTTCTCCATCCCATACGACGACGTAGGCATCTGGGGCATGTTCCGCTCTGTAATGACAAACCCGGGCGCTGTGGGTCCATACACGGCAAGCGAAGAGGTATATACGACCTTGACGCCGGGCATGGTCCTGCGCAGCCTATCGAGGATATAGTGCGTTGCAAACAGGTTTACGCTCATGCCTAGGTCGAAGTTGGCTTCGGAGCCGCTAGACATGATGCCGTGGAGGATGTAGACGACATCGTAGCGCCGGGGTGGGGAGGAGGAAGGGTCTATGAGGGAGTCTACGGCTGCGTGGGAAGTTAGGTCTGCTTGGATGGAGGTTACGCGGGAGGCGTGTTTGCTAGCGCTAGCGGGGATGGGAGGGGCGGAGGTGACGTCTGTGATGGTTAGGGTTGTGTCTGGGGGTGTGGTGTTGAGGAGGGCCGCTGTTAGTTCTTGGCCGACGAAGCCACCGGCGCCGGTTATCAGGATTGCAGTGGGCATTGTGGCTCTGTTGGGCTTAGATTGTATGTTGTAAGTTAATAGTACAGTACTTAAACTACCTTGCTCAGAATCTTGGAATGAGGGGATCGGATTCGCTGTTCGCGGGTAAGAATACTGACAAAAGTGCGCGAGAGTGGGTGCGGTTGGATATACGCAGGGCCAGTCAGATTAGAATAAATCATAGACAGCTGAGATTGACTCTTGTGTTTACTTCCAATCCATCAGTAGCATTTCCCGGTATCTGGTGGATGGTGCTTGCTTGATCATTTATCCTAAAAAGTATTCGGATGATCCCCCGTATGTGCGGAACCCAATCCCACTGGGTCCGTAGCTGGTTCGGACTTACGCCCGAACGCCAATAACTGCTGTTCGTTCCCTCTTTAAAAATTGGGCCGGGAGCACGCCGGTTGGAAGGCCATAGCTGTCGGTTTGCACGAAAGGGGTCAGGCTAAGGTTTATTATTGCATATTGCTTTTCGACTGGTTCTACATGTACGTTGTATTTGTCAGGGGCTTCCTTCGAGGGATCGCGAGCAGTGTCATCCGGGCAGAGTTATGCTTAATAAATGTCAATTGAACGGCTTTTCCAACATAGTGGTATAGTGTACAGTGCAATATGACATTTCCAATTGGCCATATGAAGACACCAAGGAGGAGTCCAACCAAGCCATGAAAGAAATAAACCTCTTTTGATTTACTCGAGAAATATCGAGAAATATGAACAAAGTAAAGGACTGCAGGAAAACGGACAGGAAAATTGTGAAAACATCATACATGGATAGGATAAACTGCGGCCCACAAAAGCATTTATCTGGAAACGCACTCAAACGCCGGAGATTGCAAATCGCATAAAACGGGAAATCCAACAAGGGAGATAGAGCCAGGAAAGATTCAAAAAGAAATGCATCAAAACAGCAGAAACCAACCCAATTCCAAAGCATTAATCAGGTTTGCCGGTAGATACCAGCAACTATACAATGGTCACGTTCGAAGGGTTCTGTAGCCAAGTTGTTAGCATTCGAAGGCATGCAAATGAGAGGTACAAGGGTAAGACGTGAGAGAAATACTGACCTAGTGTGAGTTGTTCCTTGGGTTTTATCTTCTCCTCTCTCATCTTCTGGACTTCCTTGGCGAACACGACCTCAGGCTTCGCTGTGCTATCGATACAATTTGCCTTGATACTGACAATAACGCCACCACCCGCCTTAAGGAAGAGATGGGCATTAAGACCCACAATTCTGGCTTGGTCAGGCTGGGCAACGTCTGCAAAGATTACATCAACCATTCCGACCAACATTCTGTAGCGAAGGGGGTGACGTGCGTCTTCGACAATGGGAATGACATTGGTACGGTGAGTAGCCATTCCAATTAGGTCACGGCCGGAACGATGGGAGAACTCGACAGCGTAGACGGTTCCAGTAGGGCCGACGAGGTCAGCGACATGGCTGACAGAGGTTCCGCTGGCAGATCCGAGATACAGCACTTTCGAGCCCGGGCGCATGTAGATGTTATCGAGACCACCAAGGATACCAGCGGCCAACTTGCTGCGGAAGGGATTCCATACACGGTACTCAACTTTGGTGGCAGCGGGAGTTTCACCATTGGCGGTAGGTTCAGTTGATTCGACGGAGATACGCTTCTCGCCATAGACGGATTCGCCTGGGGTGAGGTTCTTGGTGACGAGGAGATCTTCCTTTCCACCACGAGCGACGAAGACACCGGGGTGACGATGGGGTTCCTTTTTAGGGCGAGATATTGGTAAGCTTCATGCGTGCATAAAAAAGCACGAAAATATGGTATCCCATCGGAACGGGTAACTGTTTCAAAGGCAGAAACCAGTAATTTCATCATGAGAAACCTACAATGATAACTTTGGCACCGCCCTTGGCGCCGGGGCCGCCGCCTCGTCCACCTCCACGACCTCCACGGCCACGAGGGGCTCCTCTACCACCGCCTCTACCTCCGCGACCACCGCCACGACCACCACGGTCCGAGAATCCTAAACCGCCTAGCAATGGGAGGGAACAACGACGTCAGTCAAGGGCTTCTTCGCATCCCGCATATGTTTTGCGTTTCAATTTCTGCTTCACAGCTTCATGACGGCGCAAAGTGCGTGGTCGCATTAAAGCAAACCAGCACATGTCCACTCCAACAGGAACAGACAGAGAATGTTCTCAAAGAGCGGAATTGTTATTGGATACACACCTCTCCCACCACCACGTCCACCACGTCCACCCCGATCACCTCCACGGCCCCGGGGGGCTCCACCCCGTCCACGCGGAGCTCCAAACGCCATATTTTCTTTATATTCTGTGAAATCGTTGGAGCGGAAAAAGAAGGCAGGTTGGCGAAAATCGCGAATGGGCAGCAAACGAGCCTTCAGTGGAAATTGAAAATTATTCACTCGTCTGGTGAGTTAAAATCCACGCAAAATTTTCGACGGGGACGGAATGAAAAAGGAAAAAAGAACGGATTTCCTGGCCTACCCTCGCAAGACGTGATCGTTCAGCACGCGATCAAAATTTCGGTCTCGGTTAGGTACCCGCAGCCGGGCAAAGAGGGTATATGAATGTGAGGGTAGAGTTGTTCGCGGAGTTAAATGGACTGGATTAGGCGAAGATGAAGTTTTTCCCAGCCAAAAGTCAGTTCCTGCTCTTTTGGGCAAAAAGTTTGGGAGCTTGCAACATGGTACTAACCTTAATATAGACTAGCTTATATTCATACCCTTGTGTGGTATAAGATCACGTGATATAAGGGCAATATCACGTGAATTACTTGGCCCTAATTGAGCTGTTGGTCACCATTTAACTGAGTATGGATGTACAAAGCTCAATTCAGCGAACATTAGCCTCTCTAAGGTATCTGCGATCATAAATTTACGCACTAGCTATCTCGATATGTGATTGTCATAATTTGTTAAACCATTAACTATTTTGATAACGTTCAAAACCTGAGCACCCCCGAAGCCCACTACCCTAAGAGTGACTCAGCAACCCCTACTACATACACGACCCGATTGCACGTATGGTAAGGACATATATAACATTCAACGAGAAACACCCCCGTGCATTCTTCGCTGAAATCATCTGTAGGCTTATGGCTGGACAATATTTACTGCTCACGAAATATTAGCTCTTTAGACCAAGCTTATCTGATATTAGATTATTTATCCTCTTCTTCCTTTAATATCCCGCTAAGAATAATCCCAATTGAAACTATAATTTCATGGTCGTTATGGAGGCCAAAGGGAATTTAAATTAAAACTGTAGATATCCCTCTGCTTCCGTACCTCCCATATATAATCAGAAGAAAACAACAGGCGGCCACCCCTTTTTTTATAGGGGGGAGGGGGAGAGGTAGTAGTGAGTAAATCAAACGGAAAAAACATGTCGATGACCCCGCGGCGAATAGCGAATTCTATATTCGGAAAAGCGACGAAATTCGACTCTAGCGGGCTCACAAATCAGGATTTCTTCAACGCGAGGCCCGATTGTATATTTCATGTATTCTACCAGGTTTTCTTTCGTTGCCGAAGGAAGACACATGCAATGAGCATGAATAACCTTGAGCGATCGTTTATGTTCTTCCACGAGCTGTATAAGGTCCCGTTCCGAGAATTCGACCGTCAAAGATATGGCATTGAGATTCGGCCAGCGCCGTTCACGGTATGGGAGGATGTCTGCCAGCTTCACATCCCCCCACTGTTCACGCGCTGCGAACCAGTAAAGCGACGTGTCTATCTTGACTGACTGGACGGAATCCGTATTGAGAAAGGCACTGGTGAGATTGTAGACATGTTGTTTCCCAATATTGTCGCCATCCCGGCATGAGTCGGCAGGCCCGAAATGTCGATCTATGCTGTAAAACCCCAAAGATAAATCTGTTGCCTTGCCTACAACGCGACTGACGCAGAGCAGCTGATCAGAGGACATCTCAAGGGTTTTGAAATTGACAGGTGTGGACACCTCCAGGCGACATTGTTTCGGAAAGATGTTTGCATGCTCAAGAACTGCGAAGATGGAAGGTAGCAGTCCTACTGGAGGTGGATGTCGCGTGAAATGACGAATTCTTTTGGCGCGGAGCTCGACACATGAAAAACATGATTGCCAGTGCGACGGCCGGGAACAGAACTTTATCAGTAACCTATCACACCACTCTTGGGGTAATGTGCGCTCGCATTCACCAGCACGGATGGTTACTGAGGGGTCCTTAGCTATGTCAGGGCTAAGGCCCAACGCGTTATCGTCCTTGTCCGTGATGACGATATGCTCCAAAGCTAAAAACCTTCTCAGTAGGGAAGATAGTCGGGCCATGTATGAACCATCATGCCGAGCGGTTTCCTGATCTTTGAAAAGAAGGCAATAATTGCTGTACCCTCTTTTGAGGAGACTTTGATAATGAGTGGGATTGTCCTGGTCATAGAAGCCAAAGCCCATGGCACGCCACTCCTTCGAGGCAAGAGAAAATTGGCTGTTGGTACACTGTCTAATCTCGCTGCAGAGTTGCCTGCGCAGTTGAAATTCTCGGTCAACCATGTATCTGGCGAATAAGGAAAAATCCCGCGCGAGGAGGGCATCATAATACGCCACGGAGAACTTGAGTCTGCGGACCGTCGTCGCAAAATGTTCATGTTTCAGGATTTCTTCTAGTTTGGTCAGCGTCCGCAGGGACAACGCTGAGATTACAACCTGTGTATGTCGATTGAGGGCTGCAGTTGTAATCTCAGCAATGCGTTTGGAGACGAGTCGGAAAGATTTCAGGTCTGACACCACATAGGAACCTGCGTGATCGAAGAAATACTCCGCGACAAGGATCAATATCTCAGCTGGAAGATGTTGGAGTCTCATTTTATATTCGGATGCATGCATCAGCACCCCATACATAGTAGGAAAGGATAAATTGGCGTGAAACCTATTGTCCAGTCACCTACGGCGGGTTATTTGTGTTTGGCTTCTGAATTCTTGAGGTGGCGCAGGCCAGTCCATTTTCTCGCGCTCGTATGATTAATTGTTCTTTATTGGCCCGACTGTCGAGATCGTGTCAACGAGTTTACAATTGGCTGAATGAACGCGGGTTGCTTGTGTCCTCCTTGGTTCAATAGCGCTGCTAAGATTTGGTGTTGAACCTTGGAATATCCCACTTGTCAACGAAAGCCTGGATGCATGGCTTTTCGAGTGCTCCGTAGAAAATTGTTGGTTCAAGACTCGAGGTAAGTTATTTAAGCCTGTGAAGATAAAGCTATTAAGCATGGAGGACAATTCCTACCTTATTGACAGATCTATTTATCGCCATGCGCCTGGCCAAGATTCCCCCGCTTATTATCAGAACTACCAACATACGCCAGCATTTCTTTTTCTTTTCTTTTTTTCTCTGCTTTCTTTTTCCTTGTCTTCTTCATGACAAGAATCCAAGTTTTGACTGGATTTTGTTAAGAAAGGGCAAGCAATGGTATCTTTGCTAGGCGCAGACAGAGTAACAAAACCCATTCATATATAACCCTGTACTGGGTTTCAGCCCCTGCATTGTATAAACCTTCGTGCGAGTATCCAGCTGCAGTCCTGGTGATAAGGGTCATGTCATACATGCAACTACTGGTGGATGAGAAGATTATTGTACTCTGCCCAAGAACAGTACTAGCTCCTTTGTTTCCAATGTCTCCAACATGGCAAGGTGTTTGACATCATCCACTGGGAGAGTTCTGCTCCCGTTCTTCATTTAGAGCGGTATAACGAAGATGGTACTTGCCGTACTGATGGGAGGCAACGACGTCTTTCTCGGGTTGAGGATCTATTTGTCAATGACTTGGGACTATTGAGGACTGTATACTGAGATGGATCCTCGGGCGGAAGACATGGAAAGGGAGGACGGAGGCGGATAAGCTTACGTTTGATGGAATGATCCCGTAAACGAGACTAGAGCTATCTAGCATGCGGATATGCTAAACAATATTCTCGTCAAACAGTTGTTTACCCTACTCCAACCAACCCCAGGGTGTGAAGAGAACGAAGGGCTGAAAGCAAAGTTTCTGGGTCGTCTAACGCGTAACTTCCTTCCTACCATATGCAGAGCCACTTCCAGTGAGCTCTTATTTCAAAAAAAAAAAAAAAAAAAAAAAAAAAAAAAGTAATGGATAACGTACCATTACCTTTACTTATACACGCATCAAATTGTTGCGATGCAGAAAAAACGGACCCATCCCGAACACCAGTTGGTCGGCCTCAACTGTGGAGATACGTATGACCAGATAGCACAAACTACCAAATGCACAAGAGGATGAAATAGGGAAACGCACATGAGTTAGGTACAGTAGTACATCAAGCAAGGAAATCAACCCTTAAGACCATCCTTACCCAAACAGGCTCTGGACAAAAAGGAAACACAAGCATGAATAGTCCAAATTTCAACCCTTAGAACCTGCCTCCGGGGGGAAAACCGCATCAAAATACTCATTCGCTCGCTGGCACGTACCCCTTGTACCCTTCCAGCCCTTAAACCCCATCCTCTGTATGTTACAGGCCGTCCAGACCACCTGCGCCCAGAACTGACGCTCCACCTTCACACCGCCAATGCTATCAACCGTCTCCTTTTCCTCAACCCATGCGCGCGTCGGCTTCCCATCCGGCCCACGGATGGGAGACTCTAGTCTATCGCGTTTCTTGCGAAGCATGAAAAGGTCAACGGGGTTGATTTTCGGTTGCGAAACGTGGATGAAAAACGGGTGCGGGGCTTCTCCAGCATTGGGATCCCTTGCGCGATCTATCCCGCCGCTGGTTAGCCTGCGGTCCTCCGTGGGACTGTACTGGACCATAGCGTAGCCGGTCATTTTGCCGTCAGGACCACGGCGACCGATGGAGCGGATGGGTTCTCTGACGGCGTAGAAGGGCTGGTTTAGGATTGAGGCTGCGGCTAGGAAGGATTCCTTGTCGCCTTCGCCTGGCCCACCCTGGGTGAGGAGACGGTGGTAATGGGTTGGGCCGTAGTAATTGTAGTAGCTTGCGAGCAGGAGGGTTTTTGCGTGGGTTTTCTTGGATATTAGGAGTTGTCGGCCGTTGGTGGACGCTCGTTCTGATAAGGATTCCTCTGGATGGGAGGTGATGTTGTAGAAATATGGAGATGCGCTGGATACCCAGAAGTCTGGCCATGTTACCAGTCCGATTTCTGTAAATGGTGTGGACTGGAAGAGCTCGATCGCGTCGTGCAAGGGGAAACAATCGGCGTCTAGCCAGAGAACTTGCTCAAAGGATGAAAACAATATTGCAAATGTCTTCAGCCAGTAACGTTCCAGGTTATAGTTGGTGTGTGCTCCGAGGATATCGGACATTACGATACAGTTGGCATTCAACGTTGGAAGTACATCTTCACAAATAGTGGCATCATAATCATCTTTCGAAGCAACAAAAACCTCCACGGGGAACCGGGTGCCGCTTTGGCGGAGCATGCGCAGCGATATCAGCAGGGTGGGCAGATACTTGCTAGTCGCAGCGGAAACGATCCCCCGAGTGCCTCTCTCATGAACCAAATGCAGCCCCAGGGTATCAGCCTTGATTATCCCAACGAACTTTTGGTGGACCTTCTGCATCTGTTCCACGTCTGCATCGGGCATGTATAGGAGGTCCGGGCGAACATAATCCGCAGTGGGATCGAAGATAACCTCGGCTACCCTCTTTAGCCGCTTCGGCGCATCGACTCCTGGTGTGTTTGACTCCAGAAGCTCGCGAAGTTTATTCCAGGATTGAACTTTACGTTTGAAGTTTGGGATCCCGCGAGGTGACAGAGCTGGTGACAATGGGATAGGGTGTGAATTTGGACCGAGCGTACGCTGGAATCCGGCGAACAAGAGACAAAGGGAGAGAGTGAGGATGGCCAATCGTCGGATTATTGGACCTCGAGGTAACATCCCAATCAAGCGGTTTGAGCCCATTTTATGTAGAATTGCCGTTGGAGGAGCGCTCACCCCCCAGGAACTGTCTCACGGGAAGGGCAGCACTACCAGCTAAACCGCCGGTATCAATGGCTGGATCCTGTTGCTTTCCAGTGCATTTCTGTCAAAAAGAAATCAAAACATGACAATTTGCAGGTTGATCGCGACGATGATCTTGACGGCGATGGGTGATTGGGTGAGGTGATGGCGGAGGATGTTTGAAGTCGGCGATGAGGTCGACATTTCACCCCTGCCAATTCTAGTGCTGACGATCATACTGATGACAGTTAACAATGGCCAAAATATAAGTAACTATGTGTGACCGTACCTAACACTTTCTCCTTCATGTTTTCACTGTCATGTTTTTTTATCTACGCTGATAGCCTTTTAAATATCAGATAGTTTAAAAAGCAGTAGTAGTTATGACTCCTCTCAAGCCGCTGTATCTCATAACGATCCATAAAGATATGGGAACCACTGGCCCTTGAAGAACTCGTATAATCCAGCAATGGCAAATGTTTTCAAGAACAGTATTTTTGTTTGTGCCGCTGATGGAAAAAGTCATGTTTTATTTTACTTTTATTTTTACTTTTATATTTTTATATTTTTATTTTTTCAGAGCCGAAAACTGCCCGTTAAAAGCTTGAACCCGCGCTAATTTTGCCAAGGAATAAGAAATCAATTCGCTCTTTGATTGATTCTCTTGATAGATTCTCTCGTGAGATAGCTCTATTAACCCACCATTTTCTAAGCATTTGGAGTATCAACGGCTGATCTTCTACCCGCCATTTTCATCCGATGATTTCATTCATATATTCATATTTTAGCCCTTAAAAATCTTGGAATTTAAGGTTTACTCGGTGTCGTGGTGTAGTTGGTTATCACGTGAGTCTTACACACTCAAGGTCTCCGGTTCGAGCCCGGGCGACATCAAGAACCACACACATCCCAGGTTTTGTTTTTTTTGTCTACTATGATTGCTGTCATTTTGTATTTTATTTTTATTTTTTATTTTTATTTTTATTTTTATTATTATTATTATTATTATTTTTCACTCCTAATTATGAGAAGGACCATGTTCACGATCTACTTTTTGAATAGATTGAATAGGGCGGTTTCCATTTTTCTGACGAGAGCTTCAATTTATTTTTAGAACCGCCCAATTTTACCCAGAGTCAATCCGGAAGCGTTCGCTTATCCCCCGGGCTTCACCTCCATGACTTGACTAACATTTAATAACCAATGAACTAGGACGCTTTCTTCTAGACTGACGCCCAAAGGGACAAACCCTGTTTGACACCTCTTGGCGCGGTGGACCCTGCAGCCTGACTAACCCGCCAGCAGGATTGGCGAGAAATGAGATTTTGAGCGTTGGCGCTTGCAGTTTCAGTTTCGATAGCGGAGAAATCATCCGCGCAAGCATCAATCATAAACAGCGGGAAAAAAAAAGCAACCATATGGGCAGATGGGCAACTTCTCCCTTCGCAGAATCCATCTACGACATATGTATGGCCTGTTGGCGAATCTTTTCAAATCATCATCAATGCCGAGTCCATCCTAAACCGATCCGTTGAAACATCACGCGCCGGCCAGTGAAAAAACATACAACGAAAATTTTCGCGCCCAGCTAGAGTCTCCTCTTCATTCACGTCATTTCGTCGCATGGGCGTTCTCATGCCAGGGTTTTCTGTGCGCTGGCTTCCGTGGCCTTCCTCGCTTCTTGTAGGATAAGAAGCTGGCCGCTCGGTAAATTTCGTAAAATCACCCATGGGGATCTGAACAGGGATGGGTGCCTGCGCAAACAAAATCTGACGTATTAAAATGCATTGCATGATTGACGGATCTCTGGAATTGCTGCAGAGTACGGATTATACACAGGGAGGCCAATAATTCAGTGGTTGCTATTTCCAACCATCTGTGCCTTGAGCTAAAATTTCTTCTGCATGAAATTCAACGATTATTCCCTGCTCAAAGTAAACCTCCCTTGCTATGAATTAACAAGGATAGTTTTACAAGTCCGGCGGCTAGAAGGAGATTACATGAACGGAAGAAGCTACAGAGTACAGGGTACAGACAATAGGCCCCAAGCAGCCTTTCAATATCACCGAGAATCATGAGTCGCTCAGGACGGAAAATTATTCAGTGTATACAGAAAACTTGACCTCACTAAGTGCGCCACTTGACCTCGTTACATAATCATGACCCCGACCTCGCACAATACAGTAATAATCAGTTGGTAATTGACTTTCAATCTTTCAATTCACTCATTTATTCAGCTCATCAATCAATCAAAGCATGTATAGCTGATTTATAATCAATTAAATAAACAGATAAATTCATATAGAATATAAAGAGATGTTTTACAGAATTTTAAAATATATCAAGATAAAAATAGTTAATAATTGATTTTAAATTGATTTTCAATTGATTCTGAATTGATTCTGAATTAATTATAGTAATAAAAATAGATTTAATCTATATATTTAAGTAATTAATAATTGATTGAAAATCAGTTGATAATCAATTCAGTATTATTATTAAATTCAAGAATAATTTCAGTATTAAATTAATTTTGAATTGATTTTGAATTGATTCTGAATTAATTGTTAATTAATTATAGTAATAAAATAAATTCAATCTGTATATTTAAGTAATTAATAATTGATTGAAAATCAGTTAATAATTAATTCAGTGTAAATTATATAAATACTTACTTTATTATTAAATTCAAGAATAATTTCAGTATTAAATTGATTTTAAATTGATTTTGAATTGATTGTAGAATTGATGATAAATAATTGAGTGGTTTCAAATTACAAGAAAAGATGTATTGAGCGAGGTCAGATAGTGGCACGGGCCACATTTGCGAGGTCAGCTTACATAACGAGGTCAAGTGGCGCACTTAGCGAGGTCAAGTTTTCTGCTTCCTGAATTATTCATTCATTATTGAATTGATGTTTCTATTTCGTTCTTGATGGTTAGTTAACTGAAGGCCCTTCCCCCCAACCCTAGGAAGCTTTGCCACTAATTAGTAAAGCTAGTTAAATCAAACCCCCGCAACTTAGTTAAACGCTAGCTTATATTTACTACGTAGTTCAATGTTTGTCGTCCCTTCCTTCTCATAGCTCGAGAGCGTAACGTCGTTACTTTCAGCTGAGCAGGCTTGGGCGAGAAGATAACCGTAAGCCAGTGAAGTTATCACTGTCCACGGGTGTATATTAACCCACATATCTTGTGAAGTATAAATAGAAACGAAAGAAAAAAAGATAATGTTTAAGGAAATAGCGCCAGCAGCATCGCATAGCGTAGCATAACATAGGATGGCTTAGTTAGCCCTAGCAAGACCCCTCGCCAATATCGATTCCTATTAGCATTAGCATAACATCTCTACTTTGAAAACGTTTCGTTTCGTTTGGTTTCATTTCTCCTAACTAGCTTGACATAATGTCTTGCTTGGCCGTTGGTCTCACCCGACATTTCAATGTTTCTTTTCTCTCTTGCTGCCCGCCCAGCAGAAAGTCAACTAGTCTTTAAGCTCCTCTTAGTTAGCTATTCAATAATGAACGAGGCAGGGCGGGGGGAAATATATGCGCTGGATTCAGTTGCTATTCATTGAGCCCCATCCATGTTCAATGTGTCCAAATCTGCTCAGCAGGCGGCTCGCCATCCACAGTAGTAACTACTAATATATGTTAGTTAAAATGAGGGTCTACTAGGGAGGCAAAAGATGAACTCTAGAGAGGAAGGAGATGGAGATGCCTATCTTGAGGTCAGCGTTTGGGAGAAGGAAGCACATACTAGCATAGTTCCTCTCAACCACATGAAGATAGATAGACGGGCATGAAAAGTTCTCCCTCCCCAGACTTCAGGATCCTCACATCTCCCACTTTTCCGCGGTCCCCCCCCCCCCCGGGGGCCCCCCTCCTCCCCCAGTGGTCACTCCGGGTCCCCATTTTTCCAGGGAGTCTATGGGTTAACTATTATCTAATTGAGCGTTATGAATAGGCTTTGCCTTATTGGAGCTAATCACTTGTAGCCGTGACGACGATGGCACACTCACAAAAAAGATTTAAGCGCTGGGGGATGTACGGAGTATGGATAACTACACATTTCAACTGCCAGTTTTTCTCAAGGTGGCGGAGCGCGCAGAAAAAACCTGAGGTGATTCCGCGGAAATGGACCGGTGGGCGGGTGGATGGATGGGAGATATTTAAGTAAAATTTTAATATTATTATTATTGTCACTCCTTGGAATAAGTTAACAGAAGATCAGAATTATTGCTCCTCTGTACTGGGTAGGTAACATACTCAGTACTCCGTACGGAGTACATATTGGAAGAAACTCGGGCTGTGTGGCAGGGAAACAGCGGCCCCCTCCCACCTCTTTGGCCCAGGCCCAGTCCCCCATCTGACAAAAGAGATCAATTGACATCAATGTCAATGTAACTTCGTCACACCAATGCTTGTACATGTACACTACTGTTAACACGCAAACCAAACAGGTGGGCGCCACGAGAAATGAAAATGGTGGGGTATAAAATTCCTCCATCAAACATCTAACTACGTTCCATGTCCACGCACTCCGTATGTATTGCCGGGGAATAGAAAAAAATTTTATTTTGAGTAGCATGTTTAATGTTTAATCATAGTGAGATGTAGGAGACAGGCAACTTGGAACCAATGTTTGATGTTGATTGATATTTTCGACAGATTTTGGAGAAAAAACAATATCAGGGCTCGTGCGGTAGGCTATTCCATCATATGGTCTACCGTTTCGGAAATCCGTGCCCTCGCGTTGTAATCGGGAGCGTGCCGGGCGCGGGTAAGGCAAGGTTGATGGATTTAATTGATCAGAGGCATGGAATATGTATATGTGATGGGGATGGAGCTTTAAGTGTGTGTGCGTGTGAACATGGCGTTCCTCCACATTCGGTCGTCGATCGTCGTTGTTATTTAGCTTTTATTAGTGTCGAGAGTACATGTAAGTATATGTTGATGTGGATGTGTAGCGCAAAGTCCGCGAAGGCAGGTTACATGTTTGTTTCTATTATTTTTCAGCCTATTGGTTACAGAATGTCTCCATGGAGGAACAGCGACAGAGATATCTTCTCAACCACGATCTACTAGCGGAGTACAGATGTAGTCCGATTAGGATAACCAACACGGAGTACAGGACATCACAGCTACTCCGTAGCACCTAGCATTGAGGTTGGTTGTTCCGCGGCCAGAGCGATCTTGGCTCTGCTGCTCCGTGTTCATAGCTGCACACTTTTCCGTGTCCCCCGCCCCGTTGTTTTCAGTTGTGAGCCTTGTCAATTGGGGGTATTCAGATATTCAGCCATCATCAGGGTTTGGTTTCGCCAAAGAGCCACCAACGTGGATGATAAGAAATGTGGTAGCATAGGTTTGTATCATTTATCAGCGAGGTGCTTGTTTCCATTTCTTTTGAAAGCTGACACTCCTCTTGATTAAACAATTGTAAGACCGGAGATCTTCAGGTACCAGGTAGGTTGGTTTCGGTATTAGATATATGAGAGTTGATGTTTTCGTATAAAAGTATTATTTCCGGTTTCAATCCATGATAATGTTCCGAGAAACAATGCAGGACGTAGTTTTTATCGCGGGAGCGCTGACATCTGCACCGTCAACACATAGTTAATCATGCAATGGCTCGTAACCGCAGGGTCCATGAGGGCTAAACGTACCAATGATATGCCTCAAAGTAAAGCTGATATTTTCCTCGCTCGTAAATCCATCATACCCACCAATCCCCAGCCACCCAAGGATTGATCTAATTCCTCTCGTAACGAGCCAGTCAGCATCCCCAAGCTCTCAATGCTTCACTGTGGCCCACTGCATGAACTGAGGGAATCCGGTGCAGCACCAGGGCTTGGCTTGGCTATGTGCTTTTTGCTCACCAGTCGCGCCAGGCAAAATATCCAAGGGTTTAAATTAAGCAAGCCGGCGTCAACCTCCTCCCTCCCCCAACCTGCAGCCAAGCACAGATCGGGCTAAGCGCCAGCCCTAAGCCAGCCCTGCAACCAAGATCTGGTTAGCGCGTCCTAAAATAAGATCAGAACCATGGTTCTCACATTCCGCTAGACCCAATTGAGTAGCGTGTTTCTAATTCCAGGGCGGGAACGCTCGAAGCTACCAGAACTCTAAATGGGCAGGGGTGGAGCCGCTGAGGTGGGGCCTATCCTTCGCCGGCGGTTGTGGGGTAGAGATGAATGGATGTATGGATGGATGGCAGTCTGTGGACTGTAAGGACTATGAGGACTGTGAGGACTGTGTGGACTGCGCTGGTGGTACCTGTGCACGATGCGCCATGGGCCTGTGGGACTGAGGGCTTGACTGGGGCAGCATCGTGGGCGTCTGCACGATGTATATAACTCGGGATGGACGATCTGTTTCCCATTCCTTCTCTCGCTGGTTCCGTTGCTCTCCATCTAACCATTGACCGATTTGTCCATCTATCTCCTCGATCTTCTTCTGAGTGTTTTGTTTTTTGTTTCCTTTCCCTTCTTCCTCCACTACTGTTTGGTGTTTACTTTTCTTTTTCTTTTTCTTTTCCTTCTCTTTTTCCCTTTTTGGCCGTTTTGTGCCCATCTTCTTACTTTCCTTTCCTCCCGCTTTCTGCATTTTTTTTATCATATTTTATTTTCTTCTGTCGATATCCATTTCTTATACCTCGCTCCTTCTGATAGCTAGGCTAGTCAGTTCTAACGATATAACCGTCACGAATTTCTCCTTCTGTTTCCACGACTCTCTATCTGCCAGCATCCTACCGAGCAAACCCGTTTAGTAGCCATTGTTATTGCCTCCCAGCTACTATCTCAGAACCACCACCACCACCACCACCA